TCTCTACTCCAGTGTCCACAGCAGTAGCTGCAGAGGCGGCGAAGACGGCAGAGGTGGGAACCCGGGGGGGGTAGCCAGACGAGGAGAGCGGGCACCCCCAGACTCACCACCCCCAGCCCCAGCTCCAGTAGTCTCAGCTCCAGAGTCCACAGCAGCAGGCTGCGGAGGCGACGAAGACGGCCTTGGCGAGAAACCCGGGGGGTCGCCAAGCGAGGAGTGTGGCGAGTGGTCGCCGTGTCGTCGGCGACGGCGTCACCCCCCTCAGGTGAGTCAGAGGAGTCAGAAGAGATCTCAACTGGCTCATCCAAGGGGGGTGGGTCTACATGGACACACCTGAGGGAGCAGGACCCTGTGGGGGGAGGGGGTCTACCGGGGGGGGGACTGGTACCAGGAAGAGGGGTGCAAGGGGGACCGGGTGGGACGCGTGCGGGTGAAGTCGGTAGTAACAGACCGACTCGTCGAAGGTGACGTCCTGAGAGGACAGAACACGACGCGAGGCAGGGTGGTAGAACTGCCAGGGTGGAGCGTCGGTGGGGAAGCCCAGGAAGACACAGCGGAGAGTGCGAGGAGAGAGCTTGCTCGCTTTGGTATCGCAAACAAGGGAGAGCGCGCCCCAGACCCGAAACGACGACACATCACCAGGCTGTCCCGTCCAACGAAGTGTGGGCGAGGTCTCTGGAGCAGAGACACGGGGCCAGAGGTTGAGCTGATGCGCGGCGTATCGGACCGCAAACGGCCACAGGAAATGGGGAGCAGCCGCATGGATCATGGAGGTACGAGCAACCTCCATGATCAGGCCAATGCGACGCTCAGCGATCCCATTTTGCTGCGGAGAGGCCGGAAGCGTGAACGACTGGGCGATGCCCTCATCCTGGCAGAACGTCTCAAGGACGCCAGAAGAGAACTCACCACCCCTGTCAGAGTGCAGACGCAGGACTGGGAAGTCCTGATGAAAGCGCTCGTGTAGCTGGAGACGAGTAGCACGGATCCAAGGGATCAAAACACCGCTGACGTCCGCCTTGCGACGCAAGGGGAAGACTGTGGTGTAGCGTGTGTAGTCGTCAACAACCAGCAGGAAGTAGCGCTCCTGGTCCGTCCCACTGACGGGGGCCGGGCCCCACACGTCCAGGTGGAGAGTCTGCAGAGGAGCAGTGGTCGGAGGAAACTCGGAGGAGTGAGGAGCGGCGCGCTGCCGCCCCTCGACGCAAGGAAGGCACGGCGGCGCAAGTGAGCGCGGGAGGGGGGGCAGGGTCTCAGGGAGGCCAGAGACCAGGAGCCGGGAGTGCATGCCGCGCAGACGCTGCAGGGAGGGGTGACCAAGACGGTGGTGCCAGCGCTGAGTCTCGTGCGTGAGTACTCTGCACGAGCAAGACGCAGCTAACTGCCCTGACGCAGACGCTCGACTCGACACAGCTACCTGACCTGACTCAGCCACCTGTGCAGACGCAGTGGTCAGTGTGTACAGACTAGACCCAGGCTGACGAGTGAACGTAGCCAGGTGACGGCCAGTCCGGGAGCACGTACAGATCGCCACACGCTGCCCTCCAGGAATAAAGGTATCAACCCAGACATCCTGAATGGCAGCGTTGCTCACCAAGTTCGTCGAGAACGTGGGGAGGTGGAGACCTGACAAAGAACCAGAGGGGACTGCTGGACAAGGTAGGACCGTGAGGCTCTCGCAACCACTGGGCCCCCAGAGGGGTCAGCCAGTGAGACTGGGACAGGTGCTGTGAGTGGTGTGACTGTGGTGCAATCACGGAAGAAGCAACGTGACGCGCCTGAGTCAAGCGTGAAAGGTGTGCAAGACCTCAGCTGAGGCAGGACCTGTGGTAGTAGACGCACTAGCACCTAGAGCGTCGGTAGACTCACTGGCACCTAGAGCTGCAGCAGACTCACTAGCACCTGGAGCGGCAGCAGACTCACTAACACCAAGAGCAAGCAGTCCTAACAAAACGATAACCTCCACCACCAGGACGACCTCGCTGAATAACCCACTCACGAAGCTGCTGAGGGGTGGGGGTCGTCCGGGAGAAGCAGTGGCCCGCTGTTGTCCACCCCTGGCCCGCAGCAACTGCCCGCGGAAGTGGCCATGACAGACAGTGACGGCCAGGAGTAGGTCCAGCACCTCCAGCTCCTACAGCGCCAGCAGCACCTCCTCCACTCCCAGCAGCACCTCCTCCACTCCCAGTAGCACGAGTAGGAGCAGGCAGCAGTAGTAACAGCAGCAGGGCGGCGCGCGGCCAGAGCAGGGCGGCGCGCGCCACAGCAGGGCAGTAGTAGGCAGTAGCTCCTAGGGCAGAAGCACCTAGGGGTCCTTTTTTTTTTTTTTTTTTACAATTTAATTATATTTAGGGTATAGCAGGGCGCTGGCGCAGGGCAGGGCGCTGGCGCAGGGCAGGGCGCTGGCGCAGGGCAGGGCACGGGCGCAGGGCAGGGCGCTGGCGCAGGGCAGGGCGTCAGCGCGCGCAGGGCAGGGCGCTGGCGCAGGTTGCAGGGGCAGGACGCGCGGGCTGCAGGGGCGCCGCACTGGCTGCAAAGGCAGCTCGTACTGGCTGCAGGGGCCGTGCGGACGGGCTGCAGAGGCGGCGCACGGGCTCCAGGGGCGACGCGCGGGCTGCAGGGTCCGCGAGGACGGGCTGCAGAGGCGGCGCACGGGCTCCAGGGGCGACGCGCGGGCTGCAGGGTCTGCGAGGACGGGCTGCAGAGGCGGCGCGCGGGCTCCAGGGGCGACGCGCGGGCAGCAGGGTCCGCGAGGACGGGCTGCAGAGGCGGCGCGCGGGCTCCAAGGGCGACGCGCGGCTGCAGGGCCCGCGAGGACGGGCTTGCAGAGACGGTTCCTACTCTGATACCATGTCAAGAATAGAACTAGGAATGATGGATTGGACTAGGCAAGAGGTGAGTACAAGTAGGGGAAACCTAACCCTAAAGTGTTGTACTCACTAAGGAGTGACCCTACTGTAGCCTAGAGATACAATTGTAATCTGACAGTTACCTGGTTGGGTGGCGAAGACGCGTTTTTGTCGGCTTCAGGTCTCCTTCCTGGATGAACGTGACGCTCACCATATCAAGTTTCACGTTTTCGAGTATCAGAAGGCGAACGCGCCTGCGATCAAGTGCATCTGGCAGCACACGGAAGATGCTTCTTACCTGAAGGAAAAGGCTTCTAATCCGCTTGCTGTTGAAGTTCTTTTCCGTCGCGTCCCGGCTAACATAGTACCTAATGTGCTGAAGGACCTGCTAGTCCGTTTTAAGTTGAAGATGCGCAAGCAATCCGCTTTCAAAGACGGTCTCGCTTTTCACCGCGTTGCTCACCCTCTCACCGGAGCTGACACCGACGTGATCAAAGGACTGGTGATTCAGCACCCCGGGGATTGGTATCGCTGGCGCCACATTGTTGACAACCCGATGGAGATCGGCGCGAAGCTGTTGGTCCACTACCCTGCACTGTCCTGCCTGCTCTGCGGTGGACAGGCATTATGATCAGCATCATGATCTGTTCATCACAGAGCGACAGAACAATATAGGGAAGTGGAACCTCTCTCTGGGGAAGGCGCATTGCATCAATGGTAACCGCATCGTTTGTTTCAATGACGTTACCACTATCTTACCTCTCTCACCTTCCACTGACGACCTCTGTTGCGCTCGCAGCTGCTTCTCTGCTCACCTCCGCTCTGACCACCCCCATCCTGAAGGACCCCTCGGTCGCCCTTGTCTCAACCGGCAGCAACCGCGAGGAATGGATTTGCACGCAAGTGTGTTGCGGGAAGGCGAAAGGAAAGACCCTCTTGGTTGCTGCAGAACACATCAACTCCGCAAATCACTTGCTGAATCTGGGGACGCTGGGCACTGCCAAGAAAGCCTTGATGGACAAAGCAGACCTTGCCAAACTGAAGAAGGAGTACGGCTTCTGAGCCTGCAGAGAGAAAACCGCGTGCTGTTAGCGATCGTTGGATGGAGTGCAATTGTTAGTGTCGTCACCATCATCAGCCTGTGGATGAACAGGGGCTGCCAACCAGTGATTAAATGAGTAACAAATTTTTCCTTTCCATAGCAGGCCTGAATGTCAACGGCCTGGGTGACAGAACCAAACAAGCCAGAGTAACAACATGGACTCGAACAGCAGCAGACATACTTATTCTCTCAGACACACGCCTCCCTGATGATCATCCTTACTGGAAAATGCCTTTCTTTACCACAGTTTTAACCACTCCACCCACAGATAGAGCCGGAGGTGTCGCAGTTCTTACAAGGGACCCTTCCATCTCCATCCAGAAAATAACCGCTCACCACCCTCAGGTAGACTGATAGTAGCCACCGCCAGCCGCTCAGGATTCACCTTGACCCTCGTAGCAGCTTATTTTCCCGCCGACGCAACTGACAGAAGCCCCTTCATAGCCAAAGTAGTCGGTCCCCGCTTTCGACCAGATCCCAACAGCCGCGCATGTCGTCTTGATAGGAGACCTGAACATCGTAGAGGACCCGACATTAGACAGGACATCTCTCTCTGGCACATCCCTAGAAAACGATAGACTTATTTCTCGCTGCAATTGCTTTCAGCCGTCTGACGCTTTCCGCATGCTTCATCCTAAGCTCCGCGAGTATACCTTCTATGCAGCCTCCAAGCAGTCTAGCTCCCGCATTGACTGCGCTCTCGTCTCCTGCTCGCTTCTACCGCACCTAGATGTCGCGGCTCACATAAGACCCGAGGAATACATTTCAGATCACGGGTTCGGCATCAAGATTGCTTCAAGATTAAAGCATCTACTCACCTAGACCCCGGAATCTGGAGGCTACACGCAGCTGCGATCGGAAGGCCGGGGATCTGTAGGGCGGTTGAAGCTGCCCTCGCCAAGGCAGCAGTGGACGGAGACGGAGATTTTGAGCTGCTGCTGGGGAGACTGAACGCGGGCTTGCGCTCGTATATGAAGGAGGAGAACAAGCGGGTCAGGAAAACCACGGCGCACCTCGCTGAGGTAGTGGCGCAGCTGCACCAAGAGCAGATGCGGAATCCCGGCTGCCAGAAGACAAGGGACCTGCTGGAGGTTAGAGACACACAGCTGCGGGAATACCATGCATCAAAGCGGGACCGTTTACACGTGATGACTGGCACGAACACGGAGCTGGCTGGGGAGGTTCCCTCTCCGTTTCTCTCTGCGAGGATCAAAGTCAGGAAGCAGCGAACGCAAATCTCGGAGCTAACGGTTGGCGATACAAAAATCTCAGACTCAAAGGGGATTCTGAAAGCAGCAACGAATTACTTCACCGATCTTTTTGGAGCGGACGGGCGAACGTCGTCGGAGAAGTGGAAGCCACTCCCCGGCAGGAAGCTGGACGCCGATGCTGTGCACACACTGGAGACGGACTGGACGGAGGCAGAGGTGCAGCAGGCGTTTAAAGCTCTCTCAAATGGGAAATCTCCTGGGAAGGACGGTCTCTCGAAAGAGCTCTTTGTAAGGAATTGGGACGTCCTCGGTGGTGAATTCTTGCGAATGGCGCATACTTTCTCCGAGAATGCGTCGCTCCCTGCAAGCATCAAGGAAGCTGTCACTATTTTCCTCCATAAAAAAGGCGATAAGGATGATCTGGACAATTACCGTCCGATCACACTCCTTAACTTCTCTTACAAGGTACTGGCGCGGGTGGTGGCGAACCGGATGAAGCCGCTCCTACACAAGGTGATCTCGGCGGAGCAGTACGGGTTCATACTAGGGAGGAGAATTTCGGATGCCATTGGAGTGGTGGCGGACGTCATAGAAGCGGCGAAGAAAGGGAGTGAGGACTGGTACATGCTGTTGTTGGACTTTCGCAAGGCCTTCGACTCGGTCTCGCGAAGTTTCCTCTTCTCGGTTCTTAGGGAGATGGGCTTCCCGAGCAGATTCGTCGGCTGGGTCGAGGGCCTGCACAAGGACACAACAACAAGGCTACTGATTAATGGCTGGCTGGGAGAAGCGGTGGCAGTCAACTCGGGGGTGAGGCAAGGGTGTCCGCTCGCCCCTTACCTTTTCCTCTGCGCGGTGGAACCCCTGGCTCAGAAAGCTATGCGGCGGAAACTGGGGCTCTGCAATAAGGCCAATCAACGATTAGTATATGTCGGATACGCTGATGACACAACCTTATTTCTAGAGGGGAAGAGGCAAATTGCTAAAGCGGAGAAGCTCCTGGAGTATTTCGCTGGCTTGTCGGGGCTGAAGACGAACAAAGACAAGTCGGTCATCCTGCCGATTGGTCACAATCTGGGGAGAAGGCCTGGTACGCTTGGCGGTTTCAAATGGGCCATGGCGGATGAAGTAGAGCGGGTTCTGGGCGTCTGGGTCACTCCCTCCGGCAGCAGCGGCCCGACCTGGAAGAGGGCTTTCGAAAAAAATATAGTGGAGCTGATTAAATGGAAGGCCCTTTTTCTCACGATTGCGGCGAGGGTGGTGATAATCAATTGTTACATTACTCCACGGATAGCATATCAGGCGTAAGTGTACCCGCCTCCAGAGGACATTTGGAAGCAGTTGTTGAAGCTGATCCACAATTTCCTGACAGGGAACAACGCATCGGCGGAAAAGGGCTTCGTGCTCTGGAACTGGGGTCTTCTTACCTCGCCTAAAGCTGATGGCGGTTTGGGAGTGTTGGACCCAGAGATTCTACTTGCCTGTCTGGCTGCGCGGAGGATCGGGGGGCTATTGCTGGAGCAGAATGGTAAGAAAAAAGAGATCATGCTTAAGGCGGCGAATCTCCCACTCGGTGAGGACACTTTCCTGGCCCACGAGAGGCTGCTGAAGCACTGGCCAGGGGACGGTGAGCGCTGGAGGCAGGTGTGCGAAGCTTTTATAAAGTCGCCAATCGCTGATACCGGGAAATCGGACAGCAAAGAAGAGGTCGCTCAGGAAAGGATCGTTTTCAACCGGAAGCTGCTCCTGAACGGAACGAACCCTATTGGGGGACAGAAGGAGGCGAAGGGGCTTTGGGAGGCGCGGCTGGGGGATCTGGTATCCACCTCTCAAGCTGGAGTAGCGGAGATTAAGGACGTTGAGACCTTGGAGAAAGAGCTGAGGAGCAGAGATTCGGCTCGGCTGGCTCTCAAGGCTTTTGCTGCAGCCTCGTCGGAGTGGAAAACCCTACTGGTCCCTGGCACGATGCAGGAACGAGATGGGGGAGAGGAACAAGTGTTCGGAGGGGGTGAACATGCAGCGGCGTCGGTCTTCCGTTCGGCGGTTTTTACAAACGGGCAGCTGGCTCCGCTTAAAGCTCAAGGCCCAAATTGCAGAGCGCGCGGGGCAAGCTTACTAAAGTTGATGAGAGTGGTGTTTTGAGTGTTGTTTGGCTGCGAATTGTGATTACGTGAAGTGCGATTCAATTTGATTGGCCAACCGTTTTTTTTGTCGAATAGGAGAGAAGGAAACACCAAGAATATTGTGAGTGCAATTTGGGACTCGAGAACCAAATCGAGTTGCTCCCAGGGGTTTGCTTAGTCAGCGAAAACCCTAAGGGTGTAGCGAGAAGCTGGGCGAAACTGAACAGCCCAACTTCAACAAGGTCAACCTTCCTCTCCCGCCACCCAAAGGGCAACCTTAGTAAGGTTGAACAATTTGGGCCTTGAGCTTTAAGCAGCTGCGTGGGTCGTGGTCCAAGCCTGATGCTGTCCGGACTAAGCAGGAGAAGTGGACTGGAAAGTGGAGTGGCAAGATTGATTGGGGACGCATCATCTGCACCCGCAATTCTCTAGCCATCCCGAGCCATCCACGTGACGTTCTCACGCGTGTGCACAACCTAAACCTTCAGGTTGGGGAGAGGGTGGATTTTCTCAGCAGCAAGCCTTCGTGCCCTTACTGCGGAGCCACAGAGTCCCAGGAGCACTGTCTTTTCAGCTGCCCGCGGATTCAACCTGTGGTTTGTGGCCTCATGCGAGCTTTGCGCATGCTCAATCCTGGGCGGGCGCCTGCCTCGTTGGGTGACCTCCTGTTCCAGGAATCTGACACTGAGTCAGACTTCCCATAAGCCACGTTAACTGCCATTACCTTCCATCAGCTGTGGGTGGAGCGATGCGAAGCCAGTTTTCGGGGGCAGAAATTCAGGGCCCGGCGGGTGCTCAGGAGGATTGGTACGGCTTTCCGACTGCATGCAAGGGTGTACACGAGGGCAATGGGGGCCAAGTGCTTGAGGCCGGGCACGTCGGGGGCGCATAAGAGGGTCAGAGGGGTGTTTGAGGCTGAACAAAAAATGCTGATGAGGATCAGGGAGGTTGGCGACAAGAAATGGAAGTGGTCGGTCAGTTTTGATGCAATTTGGAACAAGCCAAGGAGGGTTTTTTATCCGCCCTAGTCACCTCGTTGGGCAGTGCATGGTGCAGGCCCTCACGCTCAGTTACGACTGCTTTTGTTGTATGCATTCTCTTCATTAATGTATACTACAATTTCAAAAAAAAAAATCTGTAACGCGTCAAGGTTCAAAACGGTGCAATTTTAAAACCGCTGTGCACCGCCTGATATCGTTTCAAACCACGACGAATGAACTGTATAGTACCTGTAAACGTACGCGCTGGACCCGCCCTTAATCAAAGTTAGGGCTGACGTGGCGCCAGTATATCGTCACGCTCCGCTGTCCTATCAGGCTCAAGCAAGTGCACTCGCGGGGCACTTGACGACGACTTGCGTGCCCAGCGACGGCACGATCAAACCACGAGAAATGCATTTCGCACACGGCGCGAGCCTCGTGTACAAAGCCGAACCTCCTCATCCCAGCCAAGCCTTGATTTCCTAAACCCTGAATCTCCAAACCACGACTTCTGGTCTGTACTAGCCATTCTGCAGTTCCGGTTAGGGCAAATATGCTTTGGATTTTGAGGTTTGCTGGAGCCAACCAAAGCCAAGGGTCCAGCTGTTTTCCGTACCGCAAGTCAACGTGGGCATCTGGCTGGTTCGGCAACATTCGAAGCACGTTGGCTTCTTGTACCCGGTTTACGCGACTTCGGTTGCCGTCAGTGGTCAACCTAGTTCCCTCGTACCCCCCTTGGCGCCACCCACCCCCGCCCCCTCATCCCTCTCCAGCTATCATCCATCCTCCTCCCCACCTCCCACCCACCTTTGGAATAACGCGCTTTGCGCTCAATTACGGCGCGGTATACCCAAGGGCGACAGCCAATACTGACGGGCCCAGCAGTAGGTTAGACTTTTGCTAGTTATTCACCCCCCTGCTTCTGAGCCAGGTAGCGACGTAACGAGGGCTTATTTTAGGCGCGTAAATCAACTGCTTCGCGAAGACGATACCTTGACGAATGGTGACGCTAACTACGAACAAATGCGACGGTTTTATTCTGCTATTTCAGCTGCAAGCCATAGTCGCCTTCTGACGGGTGCTCCGTGCGCAGTCTAGGCTCCGCATATCTTTCATAAAATTAGCACATTCCTCAATTGAGAGGGTTGACATTTTTTCGCTACTCGCAACGCTCACAACCGTACGCTATATTGAGCGTAGTCCAAGGGAAAACGCGAATTAGCTCGAAACAGTGTCGCGCGAGAGAAACCGGCATGCTTCAGGCCGGCGTCTGTCAGACCGCTAGTAGAATCTGGCCGAGGATCAGATACGGTTTTTCCTCAACCAATCAGCAGCGCTGGGTAGACTCGTGACGCCGCGACTTCGGCGCCGTATGCCCCGGGAATGGCGGAAGAGCTTGCAGAGGACGAGGAGAACGACGGGGATAAAAACGGAATACGACAAAATGAGATTAGGAAGCGCGTCATTAATAGTGACGGATTACGTTGACAGGTTCTGCTGGGTGATGCACTAACGACTACTCACGGAATACGTTTAGGCTCTTAATCCCAATAACGCGGATACATTTTGCGACCAGGCCTTACTAGCTTTTATAACGAGACTGCGTCTCTCGCGACTGCGGTGGAGAAGGGGCTGGCGATAAGAAGCTGAGCTCTTGTGCGACTAGAAGGACCGGCAGCGAGCGATCGCACAGGGGGACAGGCTGCAGTGATCGCACAGGGTCGCACAGGGAGTAGAGCAACGAGAGCGAAAGAGGGTTGCGAAAGTAAGACGACGAGGCTGAGAGCCGGGAACAACGAAAGAGGGTCGCGAAAGTTGAACTTGTGTTGCGAATCGCGCAGCGCGGCTCGACGAGAGGAAGGGTTGGGAGGGAAGGCAGAGGGACTAGGGCGCAGCGGTGGGAGCAAGGGAGGGCATAGCGAACGTAGCCGACTGTTAGTGCAGGAGCAACAGCAGCAGGAGCAGCAGCAGCAGCAGCAGCAGCAGCAGCAGCAGCAGCAGCAGCAGGAGAAAGTAGTGCTTACAGCAGCATTAGCGGCAGCGGCAGTATGAGTTGCTGGGCGCCGTTGGCGCGGCTGGGGGCGTGCGCGCCGAGCAACGGCATCGTGGCGTGTCTGAACGCGTGCGACGGCCCCACCATCGACTGCTACGACACCTGCTACACCGACTCCGGCTGGCTCCCACCGCTCTCCACCGCTGAGCTCATCGCGTTCCCCATCTCCGCTTGCTGCCTGCTGGCCATGTCGCTTGTTATCTCCTGCATGATGTCGTCTACTCTCGGACTCGATATGGCCACGTTGCAGGTAACCCCCGCTACTGGTAACCAGACCCCCCCCCCCTCCCCCCGCCCCCGACCCCCAGTTCCCCCTACCCCCCCACTCACCTTCCTCTCCGCGTGCTGCCTGCCTGCTGGGCATGTCGCTCGTGATCTCCTGGATGATGTCTTCTACCCTTGGGCTTGACATGGCGACTCTGCAGGTAACCCCCGCTGCTGATATCCAGTACTGTTCCACGGTACTGTCCCCCGTTTCCCCCCCCGTCTCCCCCATTTCCCCCCTTCTCCCCCATTTCCCCTTTTCTCCCCCCCTCCCCCCCCCACCCTTCCGCCTCTCCGCGTGCTGCCTGCTGGGCATGTCTCTGGTTATCTCCTGCATAATGTCGTGTACTCTGGGCCTTGACATACGCTGCAGGTAACACCAGTGCTGCTGGTAACCAGTGCTGTTACACAGTACTGCCCCTCTCCCTGCCATCCCACTCTCCTGCATGATGTCGTCCACGCTCGGACTCTCCAGACAACACCGCGCTTTCCTCCCCCTTCCCTTTTCCCAACACCCTCCCCACCTCCTTCAGCTTACGTCCCACCTCCCCCATCCCCCTCTCGAGCAGACTTTTTTTTAATTACTGAGGCGCCTCAAAACCAACTTTGTTTTTTCTGAGGCGCCTCATAGCCAAGTTTCCTATTTTTAAGTCGTCTAAAAAATATACCTTCCACCTCCTCCACTCCCCCTCTCGAGCAGACGGGCATGCGTGGCGCTATTGAGGCACCTTATATCTAAATTTACTCCTCAACCCCCCCCCCCTCCCGCTTCCCCAACTTCCCCCACTCCCTTCCCCGTCCACTTTCCCCAACTCCGCCCCACTCTCCCCACCCCCGCCCCTCTCTCCCCACCCCCGCCTCGAGCAGGCAGCAATGGATGGCGTGGACGAGAGGCTTGGGGTGACTGCTGAGTCGACTCAAAAGACACTCCCCACCCACCTCACTCCCCTCTCCCCGCCCCCCATCCACCTCCCCCCACCTCCCCCCACCCACCTCAACCAACCCCCCCCCCTTTCCTCTGGAGCAGGCGGCAATGGATGGCGTGGACGAGCGGCTGAGGACGCGGCTGAGTCGACTCAAAAGGAACAAACCCACCCACCTCCCACCCTCCTCCCCCCCACCTCCCCCCTCCCCCCTTACCCCCACCCCCCACCCCCCACCTCCCCCCGGGAGCAGGCGGCAATGGATGGAGTGGACGAGCGGCTGAGGTGGCAGGCTGCCAAGGTGGCAGCGCTGCGCACACGTGGCAGTCTGCTGCTCACCACGCTATTGGTCGCCAGCACCAGCGTCAACGTCAGCTTCACGCTCTTCGTCTCAGGTGGGACTTTGGTGGGGTCAGGTGGGTTCAGGTGGGCTCAAGGTGGGGCTCAGGTGGGCTCAGGTGGGGTCAGGTGGGGTCAGGTGAGGTCAGGTGGGTTCGAGTGTAGTGCAGTGAAGGGCTTTGACCTCTGCGTGCTGCTCATCCTGCTCTTGTATAGAAAAAAAAAACTATTCTGATGCAGCTGACCCCATTCCACCACTCCCTACCGCAGTCTCCTCCCCCACCTGCCTCAACCCCTCCTCCCTGCTCCATTCTCCTCCTGTTTTTTCCTCCCAGGCGTGTTGGGCATGGTGATGGGGTTTGTCCTCTGCGTGCTGCTCATCCTGCTCTTCGCTGAAACCACTCCTCGCATTCATCCCACCCGTTACGCCACTCCCCACTGCTCTCCACCCGCTGCTCCTCCCAGGCGTGTTGGACATGGTGATGGGGTTCATCCTCTGCGTGCTCCTCATCCTGCTCTTCGCTGAAACCACTCTTGCGTGGAATCTCAACCCCATTCCACCACTCCCTACCAACCCCCACCCCACCTCCCCAGGCGTGTTGGGCATGGTCATGGGCTTCATCCTCTGTGTGCTCCTCATCCTGCTCCTCACCGTGTTCCACCACTCTCCACCGCTTTCCACCCCGCTCTCCCAGGCGTGTTGGGCATGCTGATGGGATTCATCCTCTGTGTGCTCCTCATTCTGCTCTTCGTCGAAATCGCTCCCCCGGCCATCTGTGCGCGCCACTCCCTCCGCATCGCCTCCGCCACCGCATGGCTCGCCCGCCTGCTGCTGCTGCTGCTCTCGCCCGTGGCTTACCCCGTCAGCCTGCTGCTGGACCGGTACCTCAACAACCAGGAGGACGAAGAGGAGAGCAGCTTGCGACGTGGGCTCCTGTGCGGGTGAGTGTGCTTTTGTGTGTGGGAAGAGTGGGAGATGGAGAGGGAGAGGGAAAAGGAGAGGGAAAAGGAGAGTCAGCCACACTCCCTCCGTATCGCCTCCGCCACCGCATGGCTCGCCCGCCTGCTGCTGCTGCTGCTGTCGCCGGTGGCATATCCCGTCAGCCTGCTGCTGGACCGATACCTCAACAACCAGGAAGACGAGGAGGAGAGCAGCTTGCGACGCGGGCTGCTGTGTGGGTGAGTGTCCTTGTGTGTGTGGGAGAGTGGGAGGGAGAGGGAAGGGGGGAGGGAGAGGGGATGGGAGCCACTCGCTCCCCCCGCCATCTGTGCGCGCCACTCCCTGCGCATCGCCTCTGCCACAGCGTGGCTCGCCCGTCTGCTGCTGCTGCTACTGCTGCTGCTGCTGCTGCTGTCGCCGGTGGCATATCCCGTCAGCCTGCTGCTGGACCGATACCTCAACAACCAGGAAGACGAGGAGGAGAGCAGCTTGCGACGCGGGCTGCTGTGCGGGTGAGTGTGTGTGCGCGCGTGAGGGGATGGGGTGACAGGTAAACTGGGAGGCTGTGCAAGAGAGTGGGAGAAAGCGAGGCAGGGGAAAGCGGTGCTGGGATAGCCTATTCTCCCCCCTATTCTTTGAGTTGCCGCCACCGCTTGATCTCCCTGCCCCCACTTCTTCCCCCCCCCACAGAGGCTCCAGCTGTGCGGATCCCTACTGCATGAAGCACGGCGGCTCAGCGGGCTCCTCCCCTCGCATCTACATCACCAACCCCCTCGCCAACCCGCCCTCCCTCGAATTCCCCGACACCACCGCCTCTGCCCTCGACACTGGGAGTGCTGCTCCTGCTGCTCCTCCCGCTGCTTCTGCCGGTGCTGCTGCTGCTGCTGGTGGCGCTGCTGCTGGTGCCGCAGCCATAGCCGTCGGCACAGCAGCAGCAGCAGCAGCAGCAGCAGCGGGTGGTGCTGCCGTTGCTGGCGCAGCAGCAGGAGCAGGAGCAGGAGCCCAGCCTACCTCTGCCTCCTTCTCATCCCGAGAAGCAGGGGGGGCTGCGGGGGAAACAGGCGAGCAGACGGAGGAGAGGGATGAAGAGGAAGAAGAGGAGGAGAGTGCGGCGCTGTATTCAGAGGACATGGACTCCAACACCAGAATGCACATGGCTGGATTCGGCGCCATGCCCCCTAGGTCAGTTCCTCCTCCTTGTGAGGCGCCTCATAGCTGTATTCAGAGGACATGGACTCCAACACGCGCATGCACATGGCTGGATTCGGCGCCATGCTGCCCAGGTCAGTTCCTCCCTGCCGCCCAGATCAGTTCCTCCCTGCCGCCCAAGTCACTTCTTCCTGGCTTCCCAAGCCAATACGACTCAAGTCGCTCCAAGCCCATCAGCAGCAGCAACTCTCCCAACACTTCCACTTCTTTTCTTCCTTCCTCTTCAAACCCTTCCCCTCTCCCTCCCCTTCTCTCTCCTCTCCGTTCCAGGTCTGGCCAGTACGACTCGAGTCGCTCCAAGCCTGTCAGCGGCGGCAGCGACTCTCCCCTCACTTAACTCTTCCCCTCCACTTCCCTTTTGCCTTTTTTCTCTCCCCACCCTTCCAGGTCTGGCCAGTACGACTCGAGTCGCTCCAAGCCCGTCAGCGGCGGCAGCGACTCTCCCCTGCGGCGCCGAATCGAGCAGGCAGCTGACCGGGCCGCTGCTGCTGCTGGTGCTGGTCCCTCCACGCCTGCTGGTGCCAGCACTGGTGGGGGGGAGAGCGGGAGGAAAACGGAGAGTGGGGCGATAGGAGAGAGTGGAGCGATCGGAGAGAGCGGGGATGAGGTGGCGATGGCGCTGCCTGTGGGGGAGAGTCAGGAGTATACGAGTGTGGAGGTTGGGGAGGAGGGGGAGGGGTACAGCACTCGGGAGGAGGAGAGTAGTGAGAAGGTGGGGAGGGGAGGGAGAGGAGGGAGTGGGAGAGGAGGGAGAGGAGGGAGTGGGAGAGGAGGGAGAGGAGGGAGTGGGAGAGGAGGGAGTGGGAGAGGAGGGGAGGAGACGGCAGAGGAGTCGGACGAAGTGCCGATGGCACTGCCAACGTCTTCTGATGATGTTGATACGGAGTCAGACGACCAGAGGAGGAACCTCGGACGGGTGAGTTTAAGGTCTTGGACGGGTGAGTTACACTCATGTGGTTTTGAGTCGACTCAACAATGGCAGAGGAGTCGGATGATGTGCCGATGGCACTGCCAACGTCTTCTGATGATGTTGATACTGAGTCAGACGACCAGAGGAGGAACCTCGGACGGGTGAGTTTAAGGACTTGGACGGGTGAGTTACACTCATGTGGTTTTGAGTCGACTCAACAATGGCAGAGGAGTCGGATGATGTGCCGATGGCACTGCCAATGTCTTCTGATGATGTTGATACGGAGTCAGACGACCAGAGGAGGAACGTTGGACGGGTGAGTTACACACGTGTGGTTTTTTAGGCGACTCAAACGACGGCAGGCGGAGGAGTGGGATGAAGTGCCGATGGCGTTGCCAACATTGGATGATGTTGATACGGAGTCAGACGACCAGAGGAGAAAACTTGGACGGATGAGTTACAAGCTGTGGACGGGTGAGTTACAAGCAGTGGACGGGTGAGTTACAGACATGTTTCTGACAAATACAGGTTTTCGGGCGTCTCAAGAAGCAGGAGGATTGAGTTACAGGCAGGCAGTATGACGATATCGGCCGTGTAAAGCAAGTCACTCAGCTAAATGCTTGTGCCATTCTCATTCTCAAGCTCATTCACATCTCATCTCCTCTCCCCTACCTCCCTTAATCCCCTTCCAACAGACTCCGCCGCAGCCCCCCCCTCCACCACCCACTCCCGCCACCCCTGCCGCTGATTCCCCTGCTGGTGCCGCTGCTGCTGGTGTGGTAGCGGGGGCAGCAGTGGGGGCAGCGGCTGGAGCAGCAGCAGCCGCAGCAGCGGGAGGAGGGATGGGGTTGAGAAGCAGACCAGTGATGCACGAGACGATAGTTGAGATTGGGTCTGAAGGGGAAGGAGAGGAGGAGGAGAGTGAGGATGAGAGGAGTGAGGAGGAGGATGTTGTAGAGGCAGAGGCTTATAGCGGGGATAGTGGTGCTGTGCAATCAGGGGCAGCAGGAGGGGTAGCAGCAGGAGCGGCAGGAGCAGCAGGAGCAGCGGCAGCAGGAGGAGCAGCAGTTGGAGGAGCAGCAGGAGCAGCAGTAGGTGGTGCTGGTACCAGTGGTGCTGCTGCTTCCACTTCAGCAGCGTTGACCCCACCACCTGCCATAGCAGCAGGAGCAGCGGAAGGAGCAGGCACAGCAGGAGCAGCAGAAGCAGGAGGAGGAGCGGCAGGGGCGGGAGGGATGAGTGTGGCTGAGGGATTTGCAGCAGCAGCCGCAGCTGTGGGTGCATTTGCGCTCATGCCATTCCGATGGGGGCAGAAGCAGCCGACGCAGCAGGAGGAGGAGAAGCAGCAGCAGGGTGAGAAGAAGGAACCATCACCACCAGCATCCCCATCAGGGCGGATACAAGTGGTTGTGCACGGTACAGGGGGGCCAGGAGGGGTAGGAGGACCCAGCAGCAGCAGCGGTGGCAGCTGGAGAGACAACAGCAAGGATGTTGATAGCAAGGGAGACTCTTTGCCAGGAGGACCCATGGGTCCATCCCCTCTCCCTCCCCCACCTGCTGACCCCCGCCTCTCCGCCTTTCCCCCTACCGCCCCTCCCCCTCCCGCTGGCCCTTCCGCCTCCCCCTCCTTCCCCCTCCGACCCACACCCGCGCCCGCTCCCCCCGCTGCCTTCCCTGCGTCCTCCGAAGCGCCCTCCTTTCCCCTGCGGCCGATTCCTGCTGGTGCGGCTGCTGGTGCCGCTGCTGGTGCTGCTTTAGCCAGTGGCAGCGGCCGTGGGGGTGGGGGAGAAGCGGCGGAAGAGGGGAGGAGCATGGGGTTTGAGAGGGACGAGTCTTGGGCCACGGCACCTGAAGGGGGGAGGAGTGTGAGGTTTGGGAGAGATGAGTCATATGCAACAGCATATGATAGTGAAGGGGGTGGTGGCGGTGAGGAGGAGGGTGATGGAGCCGGTGCTTCTGCTAGCGCTGCTGCTGCTGCAGCAGGGGCAGCAGGGGTGGCAGGAGCGGCAGGAGCAGCAGGAGGGGTAGGTTCGGCAAGTGGTTGGGGATCGCGCCGGCCGCCGCTAGGTCCGGGAGCAGCAGGTTCGGCAGGCACGCCTGCGTCCTTGGCTCGGGGCCGGCCGACCAGTGCTAGCACCACTGCATCCCGGAGCTCTGCTGATTGGTCGAGCCCGGACGAATCAGAGTTTGAGTCGAGAAATACTGACACTTTGTTAAGTGCTGAGAGGAGTGTGACTCCTAGCGGGGATAGGATGATGGGGGTTGCGGATGGAGGGGAGAGAGGGGAGAGAGACATGGGGGCGAATGATGCTTTGACTAGTGCAATCATGGCTTCGTCTATATCAGCTGCGGCTGCTGTTGAGATGGCAAGGCAACGGCAGCAGCAGCAGCGACAGGAGGAGGAGGAGAGGCGGAAGCAGGAGGAGCAGGCAGGAGGTGGTTTGAGACAGCAAGGAGGGAGAAGCAGAGGGGGGGAAGGGGAGAGGGAGGGGAGTGAGAGAGAGTGGTCGTTTGCATCGAGTGAGGAGGAGGAGGAGGAGGAGGAGGAGGAGGAGGAGGAGGAGGAGGAGGAGGAGGAGGAGGAGGAGGAGGAGGAGGAGGAGGAGGAGGAGGAGGAGGAGGAGGAGGAGGAGGAAGAGGAGGTGCCTGTAGGTGAAGTGTTGACGTCAGGAGAGCAAACGAGTGGTCAGATGCAGCAACAGCAGCAGTGGCAGCAGCAGCAGCAGCAGCAGCAGATGGGTGTTGCTGCGGCGGGTGCGGGTAGGAGGAGGAAGGAGGTGAGTTTTGATGAAGGGTTGTCGTCTGGGTCTGCTGTTTCGGCTGCGGTGGTTTCGTCGTCTGCTTCTGGTGTTTATGGCGGCGCGGGATGGGGGGATGGTGAGGGGAATAGCGGTGTTGTGACTGCTGAGGTTATTGAGGAGGAGGGTGAAGAGGAGGAGGAGGAGGAGGAAGAAGAAGAGGATGAGGATGAGGATGAGGATGAGGATGAGGATGAGGATGAGGATGAGGAGGAGGATGAGGATGAGGAGGAGGAGGACGAAGAAGATGAGGAGGATGAGGAAGACGAAGAGGAGGATGAGGAAGAAGATGAGGAGGATGATGAGGAGGAGGACGAGGAGGAGGATGAGGAGGAGGAAGAGGAAGAGGAAGATGATGAGGAAGAGGAGTATACAGAGACAGAGGAGGGTACAGAAGAAGTTACGGAGGAGGTAACTGGGACAGAGGAGGTTACAGGGACAGAAGAAGTGACAGGGACAGAAGAAGTGACAGGGACGGAGGAGGTAACAGGGACAGAGGAAGTTACAGGGACTGAGGAGGTTACAGGGACTGAAGAAACGGCAAACATTTATGAGGAGGAAGAGGAGGAGGAGGAGGAAGAGGAGGAGGACGAGGAGGAGGACGAGGAGGAGGAAGAGGAGGAGGAGGAAGAGGAAGAGGAAGAGGAGGAGGACGAGGGGACAGAAGTCACAGAAGTGACAGAGGATTATGAGGAGGAGGGAGAAGGGGAGGAGGAGGAGGACGACGAAGGAGAGGAGGGGACAGAAGTCACTGAAGTGACAGAGGATTATGAGGAGGAAGGAGAAGGGGAGGTTGAAGAGGAGGAGGATGAGGAAGGGGAGGAGGAGGGGACTGAGGCAACGGAAATGACTGAGGAATATGAGGAGGAAACGGAAGAGGAGGAAGAAGAGGGGACTGAAGAGACAGGAGCAAGTGAGGAGTATGAGGAGGAAGGAGATGAAGAGGAGGAAGAGACAATGGAGGGAACAGAGGAGGAAGTGACTCAAGAGACAGAAGAGGAGGAATATGAGGAGGAGGAGGAAGAGGAGGAGGACGAGGAGGAGGAAGAGGAGGAGGAAGAGGAGGAAGAGGAGGAGGAGGAGGGGACTGAAGAGATGACGGAGGAGGGAACGGAGGTGACTGAAGAGGTGACAGGAGAGGAAGGAACGGAGGTGACAGAAGAAGTGACAGGGGAAGAGGTGACTGAAGGGACAGGAGCAAGTGAGGACTATGAGGAGGAGGAAGAGGAAGAGGTGACTGAAGAGGAGGTGACAGGGGAAGAGGTGACTGAAGAGACTGAGGAGACAGAAGAGACTGAGGGAACAGGGGAGGGGGAGGAAGAGGAGGAAGAAGAGGAGGAAGAGGAGGAGGAAGAGGAGGAGGAAGAGGAGGAAGAAGGGACGGAAGGAGATCAGGGAGGGTCATTCTATGGAGAGGAGGAGGAAGGGGGGGAGGGGGGGGTGACAGTTCACACTATAGGCGAGGAGCAAACGATTGATGATGATGTGACTTCTATGACTGAATCCCAGCTTGCCTTATATGATGAAGTGGGGCAGATGGTAACGGAGACAGAAGGGGAGACGGAGAGTGAGGGGAGTTATGATGGCGTTCCAGGTGCTGGGGCGGGTGGGGCGGGAGAGGGCGAGGGAGAGACGGAGGGGGAGACGGAGGGAGAGACAGAGGAGGAGACGGAGGGGGAGACGGAGGAGGAGACGGAGGGGGAGACAGAGGGGGAGACAGAGGGGGAGACAGAGGGAGAGACGGAGGGGGAGACGGAGGGAGAGACAGAGGGAGAGACGGAGGGGGAGACGGAGGGAGAGGAGGAAGAGGGGGAGGAGGAGGAGGAGGAGGAGGAGGAAACAGAGGAGGGAACAGAGGGGGAAGGGGAGGAAGAGGAGGAAGAGGAAGAGGAAGAAACAGAGGAGGGAACAGAGGGGGAAGGGGGAGAAGAGGAGGAGGAGGAAGAGGAAGAAACAGAGGAGGGAACGGAGGGGGAAGGGGAGGAAGAGGAGGAAGAGGAAGAAACAGAGGAGGAAACGGAGGGGGAAGGGGAGGAAGAGGAGGAAGAGGAAGAAACAGAGGAGGGAACAGAAGGTGAAGGGGAGGAAGAGGAGGAAGTGACAGAGGAGGAAGAAGAGGAGGAGGAGGAGGAGGAGGAGGAGGAGGAGGAGGAGGAGGAGGAGGAGGAGGAGGAGGAGGAGGAGGAGGAGGAGGAGGAAGAGGAGGAGGAGGAGGAGGAGGAAGAGGAGGAGGAAGAGGAGGAGGATGGATCGATAAGTGTGGTGCCTCTGAAGGAAGAGAGTAGCAGAGAGCAGGACACAGGGGAGGGAGGAGAACAGGGCTCGTCACAAGAAGAGGCAGAGACAGAGGAAGAGACAGAGGGAGAGACAGAGGGAGAGACAGAGGGAGAGGGAAGCAGCACAGAGGGAGAGGAGGGGGGAGGGAGAGAGGCGGGGTACGCTGCGATTGCAGCGGCAGCAGCCGTGGTGGCGGCGGCAGGCGGTGGTGCCTCTGCTGCTGCTATTCGCATGCAGCAAGCTGGGAGTTTCAACCGCGAGATGGGAGCTGGTGGTGCTGCTGGTGATGGCGGGGGTATGTGGGGTGGGAGCAGGCGAGGCAGCAGGCAGAACACAAACGAATGGCCTGCCCCTCAGTCAGTACAGCAGCAGCAGCAGGGGAGCAGAGCAGGCAGCAGGCAGAACACGAATGAATGGCCCACTCCTCAGTCGGCCCAGCAGCAGCAACAGCAGGGGAGCAGAGCAGGCAGTAGGCAGAACACCCAAGAGTGGCCGGCTCCTCAGTCGGTCCAGCAGCAGCAACAGGGGAGCAGAGCGGGGAGCAGGCAGAACACCCAAGAGTGGCCGGCTCCTCAGTCGGCTCAGCCGCAGCCACAGGGGAGCAGGCAGGGCAGCAGGCAGAACACTCAAGAGTGGCCCACACCCGCTTCAATCCAGAAGCAGCAGCAGGCGGGAAGCAGACCGAGCAGCCGACCAGGCAGCAGGCAGAACACCCAAGAATGGCCGTCTCTACACGAAACAGGAGGCGCAGGAGCAGGAGGAGGAGGAGGAGCGGTGGTAATGCCACTCGAAGCCCCGTCCGTCCCTCTGAGACACATTGACTCTTCCGCGCGGCTGGCCACTGGGAGCACTGACCAGAGCGATCCGAACTGGCGCGCGCACCTGCGGCCGGCAGGCCCGCTGGCTAGCAGTCAGCCGGAGAGCAACAGCCGGCAAAACACTGTTGACTGGAAGGCAGCGCTAAGACCCGCTGGAGAGAGAGGGGTTGGGGCCGTTGGGCCTAGTCCGCGAGCCAGCCCACATGTCAGCCCCCACCCTAGTAGACATGCGAGTCCCCACCCTAGCAGGCGCACCAGTCCTCATACCAGTAGGGTCAACACTAAGGAATGGCCGGGAGGGAGTGGGGTGAATGGCCACAGCAGCAGTAGAGTTGAGCCCGATCCGGATGGTGTTGCCGCTGCTGCTGCAGGTGCAGGTGTTGCTGTGGGTGCTGGTAATGGTGCAGACGGTGCGGGGGGGTTGAATGCGATACAGCAGCGGATTCTGGAGTGGCAGCAAGCTGCAGGCTCGTCCACTCCCCACACTCCTCGCAGTTCAGGGGGCTCGCAGGGGAATTCCCAAGGCAACTCCCAAGGCAACTCCCAAGGCAACTCCCAAGGCGACTCCCAAGGCAATTCCCGAGGCAACTCGCCAGGTTTGGAAGGGCTGGATCGGGGTAGCAGCGGGAGGCTGAGTAGGAGCGGCAGCAGTGCGAGCGGTTACACTGAAGGGGATAATGAGGAGGACAATGAGGAGGATAATGGTGGGGACGGGGCGGGTGGGGACGGGGATGGGGCGAGCAGCAAAAGGAGTGGCTTCAGTGGGAGGTATGAGGGGAGTTATTTGGATATGAGTGACCATAGCTCAGGGTACCTTCCTTACCGATCCTCCCCTTTGCCTCGGGTAAAGGCCGAGCCTCAAAAGTTGGCTCCAGGTCCGGCGTTGTATGGTGGGTTTTCTTGGCTCGATGCAGGGTCGAGGAGCGGAAGAGGTGGGACAGGTTCGGCGGGCGGAGCAGGTCCGGGGGCAGGTTCGGGTGCAGGCGCTGCAGATTCGGGAAATGCAGGTTCGGGTGAGGGGCGAGAAGGGAGCGAGGGAGTGGGGGCTGGACACAGGGAGGCTGAAGGGGGAACGAGAGATGGAGTGAGAGGGGGGGAAGGGCACAGTAGGCATGGGCGCCCGGACCTCGTTCCAGAGCTGAGCCTCGAACCGAAGCTAGAGGCTCGGGAGGAGCAGGAAGGGAGTAGAGGCATTGGGGAAGGAGGGGTGCAAGGGGCGAGCTGGAGAAGTCATGGGACAGAAGTAACTGGTGAGACTGGTGAGACTGGTGAGGGGGAAGGGGAGGAGAGCGAGGAGGGGAGTGAGGAGGGGAGTGAGGAGGAGGAAACAGAGGAAGTGACAGAAGAAGTGACAGAGGAAGGGAGTGAGGAGGGGAGTGAGGAGGGGAGTGAGGAGGAGGGAACAGAGGAAGTGACAGACGAAGTGACAGAGGAAGGGAGCGAGGAGGGGAGTGAGGAGGAGGAGGGAACAGGGGAAGTGACAGAGGAAGGGAGTGAGGAGGTGACTGGGGAGGCAGAAGAGACAGAGGGAGAGACAGAGGGAGAAACGGAGGGAGAAACAGAAGGGGAGACAGAAGAGGAAACCGAGGGAACAGAAGGTACTGGGGAAACAGAGGAAACAGGAATGACTGGCGAGACAGAAGAAACTGGGGAAGAGGAGGAGGAGGAAGAGGAAGAGGAGGAGGATGAGGAGGAAGAGGAGGAAGAGGAGGAGGAAGAGGAGGAGGAGGAAGAAGAGGAGGATGAGGAGGACGAGGAGGAGGAAGAAGAGGAAGAGGAAGAAGAGGAGGAAACGGAGGAGGGAACCGAGGGGGAAGGGGAGGAAGAGGAAGAGGAGGAGGAAGAGGAGGAAGAGGAAGAGGAGGAGGACAATGTTGATCAACTCAACACACATAACGCCCTCCCACCCTTATACAGACACCAGCACCAGCAGCAGCAGCAGCAGTCCCAGCACCCTCCCCTGCATCCCAGTCTCAAGACCCACACCAGCGCCGCCACTGGCCCTTCCGCCTTCCCTCCCCGCACCTCTGGCCGAAGCAGCCGGCAGGTTTCCTTCCAGGAGGATGTTCAGCCGGCAGCTAGCAGGCTAGCCGGCAGTTCTGGTGCCACTGGGAGTGGGGCCTATGGGAGCGGGAGCTTCGGGGGGAGGTTAGGGAGTGGGAACTATGGGGGGGGTGGTGTGGGGGGGGGAGGGGATTATGGGGCGAGGCTGGGGAGGAGTAATCTTGCGGGGGAGCAAGGGAGTGGGAATTATCGGGGAGAGGAGGCGTATGGGAGTGGGAATTACGGGAGTGAGGCATATGGGAGTGGGAACTATGCCAAGGGGCATGCCTTGGGGAGTGGGAACTATGGGAGTGATGGGTACGGCAGTAGTGCATATGGCGGGAGTGGTAACCACGGCGCGATGTTACATGGGGCTGGGGGGAGCGGGCTGGGCGGCAGACTAGGAAGTGGGGGCGGGGTGGGCGGCAGATTGGGGAGTGGGGGGCTGAGTGGAGGGCTTGGGAGTGGGAACATGGGGAGTGGGAATATGGGGAGTCAGGTCAGTGGGAGTGGGAACTACGCGGGGAAACTAGCCCCTGTGAGGTCGCCCAGTGATAGTGGGCAGAGTGAGGGGCAAAGAGAGGGAGAGAGCGGAGGAGAGGGAGGAGTGGGAGAAGAGAGAGGAGGGAAGGGAGGGGGAGGAGGGCCGATTTGGGAGACGGACGAGGAGCAGAGTCAGGCAACAATGAGCATGGAGAGGGGGGAGGAGCATCGAAGCATGGAGAGGCAGGAGGAGGATCAAAGAATGGCGACGCAGGAGGAGGAACGTGGCATGGGTGAGTGGGATGACTAGATGTTGGTGGTGTGATGGGCTGGGTGCAGTATGGTTGGCATGTGGGTGGATCATGGGATGGTGATGGCTCATGGGAGGGAGGGTCTTGGTGACTTTTCAATCTGCTCAAAAGTAATCTCACGACTGGACGACATGCGGTCACCGGCTGTCCCTCTCTCTTCCTCGTCCTCCCATCCCATCCCTTCCGAGACATCTCAAATCTCTTTCTCCCCTCCTCCCACCCCTGCCTCCCATGTCCAGATGCAGCAGCGGCTCAAGCACCACCGCAAGCAGCACAAGAACCAATGAGTGCAGCTGACGCATCTGCCTCACCTCCCAAGTCAGTGAAGAAAGGAGGATGGCTGGAGAACCTGTGGGGCAAGTAGAGCTGGGGAACTGAAGGACGGGGGAAAGGAGGAGGGGATGGGGAGAGGGGGAAGGGGAGAGGAGAATAATGGGCTGCTATTCAGGCAGCCTGCCGGCCTACCACGGCTGAAACACATTGCCATTTGTGAAAACATGGGAATCCCCACTACCACCACCACCACTACCACCACCAGCCGCACCAGCAACATCCTGGTTTGAAGCAGCATGATGTGATGACGCATCATTCATGAGTGAGCGCATCAGCAGCAGCCTTGGTAGCTTCCCCTTCAGTGGCTGTGCTGCTGAAATGCACGCACCTTCACCTTGCGTGAAATGTATTCCAAACTAAGCAACTAACTCTGTGGCATGATTTCAGATACTCGTTTGCGTGTTGGGGCGGCTGGCGGTAGTGCTGCCAAATAGGTGCTAGATCCGTCTAGGAACTAACTAACTCGCGCTCTAATTTGCTCACCTTTGTATCCTTTATATGCTTTTATTTAATCCGAGGAGGAGGTTCCTTGTCACCAAGGAAAGGACCGCCGTTTCTAGCTAATGGCACAACAAAGTTGGGTGCGAGGAAAGGAGGCAGTCTCTTTGGATCTACCTATGATTTGAGAGAGTCGACTCAAACCTCAGCTCGGAAACCTTTTTCGTGCAGCCAGTGTATCGAGAGACGGTCAATGGTAAGTCTGCAGATTTTACCGTACACTTACTTTGGTCCTGTGGGAAAATGAAACTGCCAGCAACACTGATAATAGTTAAAAGAATGCAGCGAATCGCGGTACTGTGTCACAAACCGAGTCGCAATCTTAGAAACTTTGCATGGATTAATAAAAGAATGTAACGAATCGCGTTACTGTGTCACGTTACGAGGTGGTGTAGCAGCCACTGCTGCTGGTGCTGCTGCCACCAGGGGGGAGACAGATGCGTCAACATACGTCTTGATCTCGCACCCCTTGTGCCCCAAAGCAACCCCTTTGTTCTCGCCCCTGCCCCTTCCCCTGCCGCTTTATTCCAGGGCTTCGCCCTAGGTACAGTCCCAGCCTGCCTCTCTGGTTTGGCAGGCGCAGGTGCGGCAGGAGTGGCTGTTGCTGTGGTTGGAGGGTTGGCCCCGATAACTCCTCGGCACCGCTCTGCACCGCACTGGCAAGCTTTGTTCGGGCCGAAGCTCACAAATCTGTGTGAACACCGCAAGAGTGTTCAAGGAGGAATGGGGTGAGAGGTGAGAAAAGGTGTGAATGACTTCTCAAGGAAACATTGACTTTTGAGGATTCTCAAATTCTCATGTAAACATTGACTTCTGAGGATTCTCAAAAGTGATACCCAAAAAGCTGTGCGAGCACTCTAACAGTGCTCAAGGGGGAACGGGATGAGAGGCGGGAACATACCATATGAAGCTGTGAGCATGGCTTCTCACAAGTATTCGTCGTGAAGTGAGGTGAGAAAGTTGCATTTTACAGAGCAAAAAGTCAACCCTGTCACTTATACAGCACACAGTTTTCTTTGTGCAGATTAATGTTTTAATACCAGCATCCCAGACACCCGCCCACCCACCCACCCAATCACAGCACCTGTAATCATACGCCACTTCTGTGCCCACTGCAATGTCCTTGATGGCGAAAATGCCCACCCGCACATGCCCCTCCACTAGCCTGGATGGGAGAGGTAGAGACGGGAAACATGCCTAGTTTTGAGTCGACTCAAAAAATGCCCACCCGCACATGCCCCTCCACTAGCCTGGATGGGAGAGGTAGAGACGGGAAACATGCCTAGTTTTGAGTCGACTCAAAAAATGCCCACCCGCACATGCCCCTCCACTAGCCTGGATGGGAGAGGTAGAGACGGGAAACATGCCTAGTTTTGAGTCGACTCAAAAAATGCCCACCCGCACATGCCCCTCCACTAGCCTGGATGGGGAAGACACGTGCAAACACGCAGACGTGAAAGTACGCCGAGTTGCTACTAAATGGCAAACATGCCCGCTTGCACATGCCCTGGAGATGGGTGGGCAGTATGCAGGGTTGGTCCTGGCTGGCAAAAATGCCCACTCTCGCATGGGCCGTTACCAGCCAGAACAGGGGAGACCAAGAGGGCAGAAGCCAAGAGGGCAGAGGGCTTATCAATTCTCTCACCACTCTTCTGTATCTCACTCTGCCTACTGTATTCTCCACCATTCTCCTCTCTCTCACCACTTCTGCAGCTCGGCGTTGGGAGCGCAGCTGTGGTTGACAATGCTTTCCAGTGAACTCAAGGCACTCCATCACACCAGTATTCTGGATTCTCTCATCACAAGTCTGCCCTCTCTCTCTCTCACCACTTCTGCAGCTCGGCGTTAGGGGCGCAGCTGTGGTTGACAATGCTTTCCAGTGAACTCAAGGCACTCCATCACACCAGTATTCTGGATTCTCTCACCACAAGTCTGCCCTCTCTCTCTCTCACCACTTCTGCAGCTCGGCGTTAGGGGCGCAGCTGTGGTTGACAATGCTTTCCAGTGAACTCAAGGCACTCCATCACACCAGTATTCTGGATTCTCTCATCACAAGTCTGCCCTCTCTCTCTCTCACCACTTCTGCAGCTCGGCGTTAGGGGCGCAGCTGTGGTTGACAATGCTTTCCAGTGAACTCAAGGCACTCCATCACACCAGTATTCTGGATTCTCTCATCACAAGTCTGCCCTCTCTCTCTCTCACCACTTCTGCAGCTCGGCGTTAGGGGCGCAGCTGTGGTTGACGAAGCGGCCGTGCCCCCCACGGAAGGTGGCATCGATAACCACGTCGCGGCTCACTTCACACATGTAGAAATCCGTTGCTCCCCCCGCCCGCATGGCCCACAACCGGGCTTCGCACATCGCATCGTCAATTACTGGTGGGGTAAGAGAGAGGGGGAGGAAGGCGGAGACAGCTCAGAACAGGGTGGCGTTGATAACCACGCCGCGGCTCACTTCACACATGTAGAAATCCGTTGCTCCCCCTGCCCGCATGCCCCATAATCGTGCCTCACACATCGCATCGTCAATCACTGTGGGAGGAGGAAGAACAGGAAGGTTCTTAGATGCCTAAGAAAATGGCGTCTCACACATAAGTGTGGGAGGGAGGAGGGAGGCTGAGAAGACAAGGGAATGTGGGTGCATGTTGACACAGTTGGAGGACCATAATATGCTTTAACTAGGTGGGACCCATCTTTCCCAAACCATCCAAAACACCTTCACCCCTCTCAACCCACCTTCACCGGCGTATTCAACAATGAACTCGCCCGCCTTGATGGGCTCTGCTGCCATGGCTCCCCACCCACAGCGCTGCGTCTGGCGTGCAGTGGAAGCGCGGTTTATTGCATGGGGGGATGACGGAAGAGCGGGGGAGTAGGGGGGGAGGTGGGGGGGAGAGAGCGAGGAGGGGGAGTGGGGGGGGGTAGAATGGGTGTAGGAGGGGGGTTGGGACGTTTGGGATGGTGAAGGGGTGGTGGGGTATGCAACTCAGTGGTGGGACGCAGTTGAAGGGGGTGGTGGGGCATAGAGAGCACCATTTTCCGAAACGCCCAGGATAGAACATGTCTGAAAACGAAGGAGATGAAGAGAACGGAGCTGCCACTCACTTGCACGATATCAAGCCTCTTTGGGCGACTGAAGGGCCTGTTGCAGCACCCCCCGTGGCACCCACAGCGATTGGTGCAGCTCAGGTATTGCGCCCTGCCATGGCAAGACAAGGCAAGGCACACCCAGCCGAAGTGGAATAGAACGAAGCGAAATTAAATGAAGCGAGGCGCGACGAAGTTCAATGAAATGAATTGAGATGAGTGAACTGGAAAATGAATGAAATGAAACCCATAAGAGACTGTGTTGGACTCACCGGCACATGCAGTCGTCCCCACACGCGGTGTTGCTCCCCCCTTTACAATCGCACCCCATGTCCTCGTCATCCATCACTGGCGGAGGCCGCAGGTGTATGTCTGCATGGGAAGGGGGGGAGGCAATGAAGAGGGCAGTTGGTGAGCAGGTATAGGGAGAGGAAAGGCGCCACATAGACTCCTCCCAAGAGGCCTTGCAGTCCAGCACACCCCATGTCCTCGTCATCCATCACTGGTGGCGGCCGCAGGTGTATGTCTGCGTGGGAAGAAGAGGAGGCAATGGAGAGGGCAGTTCGTGAGCAGGTATAGGGAGCAAGCATTGCTGTCACATAGACTCCCAAGAGCCCTTGCAGTCGCACCCCATGTCCTCATCATCCATTACTGGCGGAGGGCGCAGGCAGGTGTATGTCTGCATGGCAGGGAGAGAGACCAGCACAGAAATGGCAAGATAGCAAGATGGCAATGGATGAGCACGCCTCATGTCCATGGCAGGCGGAGGGCGCAGGCAGGTGGATGTCTGCACTGCATCGATTGGAAAGAGAGAAGGGCAGAAACGACAGATGACAAGGTGGGAATTGGCCCTCCTTGGCATTCACAACCCTCCCACAAGCCCTTGCAGTCGCAAGCCATGTCCTCATCATCCAAAACTGGTCTGGTGGTGGACGCAAGTGAAGCACTGAACTGCAGGGCCACGGTGCAAAACTGTACTGCCCTCCCCTCACTCACTCGAGTGAGTGTATCGCAGATGTGGATGTATCGCGGCTTCAAGTTATGGGCTGCAGGCAGTGGTGCAGCGCCCTCATCCCGTTCCTCCAAGTCCACAGAGAGGGGGATGGCGGGGGGCAGGCGGAAGTCTGTCAGTCACTTGCCATGCCACTTTCAGGAAAATGCGTCCCCTCCCCTCACTCACTCGAGTTGATGTGGATGTAGCGCGGCTTGAACTCCCGGGCTGCAACTGGTAAGGTCCCATCGTCCCTCTCCTCCAGGTCCACAGAGAGGGGGATGGCGGGGGGCAGGCGGAAATCCACTGCCACGTGGGGCAGGGGCAGGGCGCACATGCCTTGCTGCAGATGGGGGAGGGGGAAGGTGGGGGGAACGGAGTACGGGGAGTTGTGGGGGCAGGCGGAAGTCCACTGCCACGTGTGGTAGGGGAAGCGCGCACATGCCTTGCTGGAGACGTGGGAGGTGGGGGAAGGGAAAAGGGGCGGGTGGGGTGCGGATGGAGGGAGTTTGATGGGGGAGGGAGGGAGGGGGAAAGAGGGGCGGGGAGCCAGTTGGGCGGGGGGAGAAAGGATACAAATTTGTGTTTGATTATAACGGGAAGCTTGATATGTGTAACACTTTGACTCAATATATGTATCATATGTCAATGCAGAAAGAGAAATAGGGGATTCATGGAATCAGAGAAGCTAGGCATCAAAGAAAGTGCAAATCAGGAAAAGTGGAAATCAGGGAAGCTAGGAATCAGGGGTGGAATGAAAAGGCAGAGGGGTAGAGGGATGGGGCGGCAGGGAGTATGCGGCTCACCTGTGCAGTTTGCACGGGTTCACAGTACTGTTGGCAGGGCAGGTGAGAAGCAGATATGCACGATGCCCACGCAGCAGGAACAACGTGCACGCATGCACGCATGCACACACACACACACACACACGCATACACGCATGCACACACACACACACACACGCATACACGCATGCACACACACACACACACACACACACACGCATGCACGCATGCACACACACACACACACGCATGCACGCATGCACACACACACACACACACACGCATGCACGCATGCACACACACACACACACACACACACGCATGCACGCATGCACACACACACACACACACACGCATGCACGCATGCACACACGCACACACACACGCATGCACACATGCACACACACACGCATGCACGCATGCACACACACACGCATGCACACATGCACACACACACGCATGCACGCATGCACACACGCATACACACACGCATGCACGCATGCACACACGCACACACACACGCATGCACGCATGCACACTCACACACACACGCATGCACGCATGCACACACGCACACACACACGCATGCACGCATGCACACACGCACACACACACGCATGCACGCATGCACACATGCACGCATGCACACATGCACGCATGCACACATGCACGCATGCACACATGCACGCATGCACACACGCACACACACACGCATGCACGCATGCACACATGCATGCACAGGAGAAACAAGAGAGAGTGCAAAGGGAGAGTGGGTGGTGAGTGAGGCTGCATGAACGAGTGGGAGGGAGGGATGCTGCATGAGCGGCGAGGGGTATGTGAGGCCGCCATTGCGCCAAGGACAGAACCACAGCCAGGCAGGCAGAGAGAGTGACCACAATAGCACAAAGTTACGAAGGGCCAGCCAACAGCCTGAGGCTGAGACGCACCCAGTTGAGAATGGAGGGAGTAGGCAGGCGTGGCAGCGTGGACCGCTCTTCCAGCAGGCTGCAGAAATGGCACGAGTCCTTGCTGCTGCAGCCATGGGTGTCACCATCACAGCCACCAACATTGCTGCCATTTTCGCCATTCCCGTCAGCTTTTCCACCATCTTTACCACCACCTTTTCCTTCATTTCTACTACCACCACCAGCGTTGCCACTGCCTCCGCCGCCACCGCTGCTGCTGTTGCTGCTGCTACTGACATTGCTGCCCACTGCTTGCACCTTTTCCCCTCCGTCCCTGCCCAGCCCACCATCCCCATTACCAACGCCACTGCCACCGCCATTTCTGCTGCCAGCATCCTCGCTGCCGCCACTGCCCCCCCCACCACCACCACTGACACCGATGCCGCTGCCACCGCTGCCATTCCCATTGCCAATGGCGGCAGCAGTGGCTGCGGCGGCTGTGGGGTTAACGGTGGCAGCAGCGGCGGAAGTGGGGGCAGTGGCGGTGGTGGCAGTGGCAACAGCAGCAGCAGCGTTGTTAGACAGGGAGGATGACGAGGAGGAGGCAGAGGGCGAGGGGAAGAGCTTGTGGTGCATGCAGTGCAGCCCGTGGGAGGTCCAGGAGAGCCCCATCTGTGGCTTGGCGCAGCGGTGGTGCAGCAGGTTCACACACCCCGGCTCACAGCACCGCTCCACGTCCTCATACACGCGGCACAGGCACAAACACACCATGCAGCGCGCCTGGGGTGCAAAGGAGAAGCAAGGGGTATGGGTAAGAAGGCATGGAGCGAGGGTAGTGAGGAGTGGGAGTGGAGGGAGAGAGTTTGTGGTGCATGCAGTGCAGCCCGTGGGAGGTCCAGGAGAGCCCCATATGTGGCTTGGCACAGCGATGGTGCAGCAGATTCACGCACCCCGGCTCGCAGCACCGCTCCACGTCCTCATAGACTCGGCAGAGACACAGACACACCATGCACCGAGCCTGCCGTGGAAGCATGAGGGATGGGGTGGGGGGAGTGATACATGGCTTGAGGGCTCGCAGCACCGCTCCACGTCCTCGTAGACTCGGCACAGGCACAAACACACCATGCACCGCGCCTGTGGTGGAAGCACAGGGGAATGGGTAACCTTGAAAGGGTTCAGATCAGATCACCACGTCCTTGTACACGCGGCACAGACACAGACACACCATGCACCGCATGGAGGGAGATGGATGGCCTTGAAAGGGTTCAGATCAGATCACCACGTCCTCGTACACGCGTCAGAAGCACAGACACACCACGCACCGCGCCTGCGGTAGAAGCAGGTGCTGGGGGAAGGATGGATGATTCTGAGGGTTCATATTCGTAGGCCGAAGAATCAGGTTTGGTGAAAATGTTTCGCTGCAAGCGTTGACTGCTTGGCCAAATGTCAGGCATGAAGCCGTATGTGATGCTACATTGTCCTGTTTGACCCGGAACAGTAAACCAAATGGGTATCCGTCCATTCTGTTTTATGCACGGAACGGACGACGCTTTTTTAGAAATCTCAAAACTCAAAACTCTGATGAGACGTCTCAAAACTCGTAAACCAAATGGGTATCCGTCCATTTTGTTTAATGTACGGAACGGACGACCTGCATTTATTGTTGATTCATGGATAAATCCTTGATTCTCACCACAAAATTTTGCTCTTCTTTTTCCCCCATTTTCATCGTCCGCGTCCCATCTGTAACGTACGGAGTGAATGGTGCAGTCCCTGCATCGCATTATCCGTCGATCCATCGGCGGACCAGACTCCAAGCACGCCTTGCAGCTGCACCGCCGTTTCAGCAGCACGCGCCGTCCGCACCACCGGCACTCCGCGCGGTCCCTCTGCGCGGAAGGCGGCTCCCGCCGCTTCTGCGGAAGAACGGCGGAAGATCCCCCGCGCGCGGAAGGACCTCCGCCTGCGCCACCCCCCGCTTCGCGCAGGTTCCACTCGCCGTCCGGCGAGGCGGCTTCCCTGCACGCGGAGGAGCTTAGGCATGAGGAATGGCCGCTGCTGTACCGGTCTGGATGGCTGGCCGCGCAACACGGCGTGGAAGGCGGAACTTCCATGGGTAACGCGATAATGCTTACGAGGATCGAGACTAGGACAGGATCTAGGGTTTCAGATCGCGGATCTCTCCTTTCAAAACAATGGTCGGAAGCGCGAAAGAAATCTACATTTTAGGTTATGATAATCAATCCTCGTTTAAAATTTCGCCGTCACACGCCAGCCAACAATCAGTGCGGGCCCACACGACCTAATACGCAAGCCGACCTAGCAATACCAGGAAAGAACAGGACATTGAACGAATGATCCTAAAACTGGACTGCACTTGTTCTACTGCATGAACTGACTGAAGGCGCTGGAGTTCCCAAGGAAACATGTGAGGGGGAATCTCTGTGGCGGGCCCTCCTGACCTGAATCCTGATGAACGAGGTTGATGGGGTTGGGGTTGGATAACTTGGGCTTCTGGAAAAAGGCGGTGGGGAGGAGGTCAGGTCAATTGAGGTGAGGAGGACCGAACCGTGCGGGGCCGAGCCGAGCCGAGATGTTCGCCCAGAAGGTTCGGCCAATATCATTGATACTCAGATTATGCCAGTCGCGGTTTGCGAACATAATCAACCAACATTTTCTCGGTATCGTAACTACATTTACTGTTTGATCCGGTTTTAAGCACACTTCTAAAACAAAGTAGCCACCAGCACTTCAACCGCACGTACCCAACAAAACAGGAAAAATACTAAAACGCTTGGATATTAACCTTAAATGAGCCGTCAAGTGTTTAGAACTATGCCTTCCGCTTGCTGCCCGGTCAAACGAGACCGTCCAGCAGAGCTTGCTGCCCGCATGCAATTAAAAATGAACTCCATGCGGAAGGGCATCATTTCCGGATGGCATCAACCTTAAACACCTTGTCGCATGACATTTAAGGTTGATGCCCCGTTACATAACATGCAATTCGATGTGGTTTTAGTTTTCTTCTGTTCTAGGTGAGCAGGACCATGGTCGACGCAGGGTAGCACCTGAATTATTCCCAGTCTGCATCCTTTTTCCTAATGATTATTTTTTTTAGCGCAATTTGCGCTTGATACAATTTTTATTGCTTGGGTAGCACCTCGACACAATTGTTCATATTTAACTTAGGTAATCGCGTTTTGTTTCTGTCACATTTCGGAGGTGTTATTAGCGTGAAAGTGCGATTGAAAAGCGAGAACCAGTCAGCGATGAGAAATCGAGGTTGAGTACCGATGCAAAGTTTCTCTGGCATACTTTGAGTATCAATGATATTGGCCGCAGAAGGTTTGCCCAGATCAAACTTTCAGGCAAATCAGTAGCAGCAGGGTCCAATACGACGCCCTTCCGTGGCTCTTCAGACGGTTCGTCATGCCCGTGCCGTGACTGGTTCACCAATGTTTGACTACACCAGGCTCGGACTCTACCAGCGGTCTTTCCTGCCAAGTGGTTGTGGTCAGGGGACGGACGGAGCGGTACGGAATTCGTTCAAATACGACACGACACGCCTCCTTCGTCCGAAGCAGACGCTGAGGTAAGGGAAGGCTGTTCCGCCGCCCTTCAGCAATTTCGGGGGCCAATGGACATCCACGTATGTAGTTCGACTGTTCCCAGAACAGCAAAAACTTTTTCGAGTGTCCCCGTTTTCTACGCAACGGCCACGATGAGCCTGTAAGCCATCAAGGGTTGCGACAGCACCAGCACGCAATCCGCTTTGTAAAAACCATTTTCCCACTTTGAGATCTATGTAAAACATCCTAATTGTTCTCAAAGGATCACACAAACCTTCAAATGTGCAAGGATGAGTGGAGCACGCTCCATTTAATCCACTTTACAAGCACTACTCAAACCATCATAATGATAGCTCATTGCCCAAGCTTTTAGTCTACTGCATAACCACCTTACCATCCAGGTCTCCTGCATTTGATTCTTCATCAGCTGATTTGTTAGTGTTACTGTTAGTTGCCTTGGCTTGCCTTCCTTGCTTCCGCCGAGTGCGAGTACCCACCGCGCGAGCAGCAGCAACGGCTACTTGTTGTGTCAGCGCGGGTTTCAATAACTCCTCCTCCACATGACGCTTGGCCCATGATTTGTCCGCCCCCATCTTTACCATATCCTGGGATAGCATGGAAAAAAGATGCATGGATAAGACATGACTAGACATGACAAAAATGCATGCATCACATACACTAGACATGCAGTAGTATCCACGCACGGGATATCATGCATGCATGGAATAATGCGGGGTACTATACATACGCGGAGCACTACGTGCATGAAATACCATACATGCATTAAGTTTCTTACCTGCAGACACACACTACCATACCTCCATGCACTACCATACCTGCGTACACGCACTACCACCATACCACGACCGCCGTACCTGCACCATGGCTGTCACGCCGCGGCTCTGCTCCATGATAGACGCGTCGAGTGACACATACGCAGGGAAAATGGCCCTCGCATACACCTGATGATGGCATTGGGATTGGGAGGAGGGTGATGGCGATAAGGAGGTTAGGGTGTTGAGATATCTCTTAACTCCATGATAGATGCGTCGAGTGACACATACGCAGGGAAGATGGCCCTCGCATACACCTGATGACGGTATTGGTGGGAAGGTGATGGCAAAGACAGGGAGAGGGGACAGTGGGACAACTTTTGAGGCGCCTCAAAAGTCATGCACCTGATGATGGCATTGGTGGGAAGGAGGGTGATCGCAAAGACAGGGAGAGGGGACAGTGGGACAGGAAGACAGGAAAGAGCAACCTTAAAAAGGACTTTTGAGGAGTCTAAAATGTCAGCGGTGATAGAAGGAGCTGGGGGGAGGTAGACCAATACGGTGGCCTGCACATACACGCCATGCAGAATGGCACGCCATGCAGAATGGCACGCCATGCAGAATGGCATGCCATGCAGAATGGCATGCCATGTAGGGTGGCACGCCATGCATGTGCAATCAGCGACCTTACCCAGTAGTACCCCCTTGATGTGACCTTCACACATCTAGTTTTGAGGCGCCTAGTTTTGAGGCGCCTAGTTTTGAGGCGCCTCAAAACCAGTAGTACCCCCTTGATGTGACCTTCACACATCCCCTTCCCATTCAAGTACTGCACCTTCAAGTCATTTTCGTTCGGCGTGCCAAGGGCCTCATTCGGCGTTCCACGAACTAACATCTCTGCACCAGCAGTTGGGCCAGCCGCCCTTTCTTCAACATCAGCCTTGATCACCGCAGCTTCTTCCTCCTCCACATGCACCGTTGCTGCAGCAGAGGCATCCAACGCACCAACACCCTCCTCACCATTGCCATCACCCTGTGTACCAACACCAGCCGGAACAGCACCAGCAGAAGCAAGCTCAGCGTCTGCAGCAACAGCAGACGTTTCAGGTTCAGCCTCTGCCACAGCCTCAGCTTCAGCTTTAGCGTCAGCAGCAGCGTTGCTCTCGAGAGTTCCTCCCGCTCCTTCGTTCGTGCTGCTCGCCTCGCCTCCTCCCATCAACTCTTCACTGCCCGCCTTCCCTGCTTCCATCCCCTCTGTGCTCTGCTCCTCGCTTCTGCTTCCATCTTGCTCCAATTCTGCAACCTCTGGACCTTCCGTTTTGCCCAGCACTGTCAACTCTACCACACCTCCCCCATCTTCCAAAGCTGTCCCCTCTGCGCTTTCCCCTTTTCCCAACTCTCCCGACTTTGTGCTTTCATCTTTGCCCAACGCTGTACCCTCTGCTGCACTGCTCCCCTTGACGAGCTCAGTCCCCTCTGTGCTTCCCTCCGTGCTCCCCTCCATGCTGGGACGCCTGGCAGGGCTGCTGCTCCTGCTCTTCTCCCCCTTCCGCCTCCCTCTCCTACCGCCACTGCTGCTGCTGACGCTGCCACTGCTCATGCTGCTGCCGATTTCACTGCTGTTGAGTGAACCAGAAGGAGTACTGCTTTCACTGTTTTCAATGCTTGATCCGAAGCCTTCACACGACAATAACGAGGCGTCTACTGGCGAAGCAGGGGTGGGCGGCAGGAGTGCTGACCTGGCAGTTGCTATCGCACTGTTCACTGTAACAGCCAGTTTCAACTCCGTCTCGCTCAGTTTGGACTCTAGCGATGAAACCTTTTCTTCAAGAAGCCTGGTCTCTCTGTCTGACGTCTCCTTTCTCTCTGCAAGCAACGCTTGCAGCTCATTGGCCCGCTCAGCTTCCTGCAATCAGGCAACGACACATGGAACACAGCGCAGTGACACAAGTCAAACTCCAGACACGAACCACATACCACATCCCTCTTTCTCTCCTCCTGCGCCCGTCTCTCAGTGGCAGAGACAGCAGCTCTGAGCCGTGCTGTGTGCAGCTGCCCCTCTCCCCTGAAAATCTTACTCTCCCTACCTCTCCTCTCCCTTCCCCTCCCCTCTGCCTCACCTCTTGCGCCCGCTTCTCAGCAGCAGAGACAGCAGCTCTCGGCCATGCCGTGTGCAGCTGCCCCTCTTCCCCCAACACGCTGTTGAAAAATACTCAATACACTCTGCAAACTCCCTCTCATTCCCCCACCCCTCTCCTGTCTCTCTCACCTCTTGTGCCCGCATCTCCGCGGCAGCAACAGCAGCCCTGAGCCGTGCCGTATGCAGCTGCCCCTCTTCCCTCGAACTTTTACTCTCTTTACCTCTTCGCTCCTTACCTCTCGTCTCTCGACCTTTCCTCTCCTCTCTCTCACCTCTTGCGCCCGCTTCTCAGCAGCCGCAACAGCAGCCCTGAGCCGTGTCGTGTGCAGCAACCCCTCTTCCCGCATCGACTCCACCTGCTCCTCCAGCCATCTCACCTCCCCCTTGCTCTCCACCACCTCCTCCTGTGCCGCTCTCTGTGACCAACCAGGAACAAAGGGGTGGAAAGGAGAAACAAAGGGGTGGAAAAGGGAAACAAGTCTAGGTTGACTCCACCTGCTCCTCCAACCATCTCACCTCCCCCTTGCTCTCCACCACCTCCTCCTGCGCCGCTCTCTGTGTCTCTCAATGACACACACACACGGGAGGAATATACAAGGGGTGGAAAGGGGAAAACAAGAAGGGCTGACTCCTAACTGTGGGCAACCAAGTTGAGTCTGACTTTGTCTGCGCCTGTGATGAGACGATTTTTGAGTCGACTAAAAAATCGTACCAAGTTGAGTCTGACTTTGTCTGCGCCTCCAGCCAGCTCACTGCCCCCTTGCTATCTACCACCTGCTCCTGTGCTGCTCTCTGCTCCCTGCGCTCGCACACCAAACACAGGGCGCGGAAAGGAACAAGCGCAATTCTGTCGAATAACAACTGTCCCCCGATATGCATTGAGATTGGGAGAACGCTTACCAATTATATAAATTATCAAATGGGAGTGCGAGAACCGCTTACCACTTCAGCTTCCAGTCTGGACGTCACTCGTGCCAGCTCAGCAGCCGCCTGCTGGCGGGAGGCTGCCAGCTCAGCATGGCGCTCCGCAAGGTGTTGCTTGAGGGTGGTCTCCCTGTCTCTGAATGCGGCAGCGGAGTGGCGGCTGGTGCGCTGCAGCTGATCCACCCGCTGCTGCAGCAGCCTGTTCTCACTCATTGCGGCTGTCAGGCGCGTGTTCAACTGACGGATGGAGGTAATTCGGGGGATAGGCAGGGGTGAAAGGTGGTAAACAGAGGTGAACTGGGTTGAACAGGAGTGAAAATGGGTGTAAGCAGAGAGGATCTCGTCAGTGTCTCGGTCTCTGAAGGCGGCAGCGGAGTGGCGGCTGGTGCGCTGCAGCTGATCCACCCGCTGCTGGAGGAGCCTGTTCTCACTCATTGCGGCTGTTAAGCGTGTATTTAACTGGGAGGGGAAGGATGGAAGGGGATGAACGGGGGTGAGGAGGGGTGTCAACAGAGATAACCCCGGACAGTTGTGCCCATGCATGCCCCACGTGTGATTTTTTAGGCGCCTCAAAAATTTAGCCTAGGGTATTTTTGAGGCGCCTAAAAAATGAACAGGGGTGAGGAGGGGTGTCAACAGAGATAACCCCGAACAGTTGTGCCCATGCATGCCTCACGTGTGCCCAGTTGACGGCAGCGGGTTATCATTAACTCATGGGTGGTGATTAAGAGGTGATCACGGGAGCGGGGGACCTCCTTCAATTCAACTGCGCTTCCGCAGATACCACTATGCGCAATCACACCTTTGTTCCTCATGTTTCATGGTTGTTTTATGGTTGTCCCAAAGTACCCAGCAGTCAGTCAGTCATTACCTCGTGGTTGGTGATGAAGAGATGGTCGCGCGAACGATTCACCTCCTTCAACTAGGTGGTGCCCCCTTTGACTAAATCGTTAGCCCGTGATGGGGAGGGAGGCAAGCAATCGCTACCTCGTGGTTGGTGATGAAGAGGTGGTCGCGCGATCGATTCACCTCCTTCAGCTGAGCTTCTGCAGATGCCACTAGGTGGTGCCCCCGTTAGCCCGTGATGGGGAGGGAGGCAAGCAATCGCTACCTCGTGGTTGGTGATGAAGAGATGGTCGCGCGATCGGTTCACCTCCTTCAGCTGAGCTTCCGCTGACGCCACCCGGCGCTCCAAGTCACTCGCCTGCACCACTGCTGCATTGCGCTGCGACTGCATGGGGAAAGAAGAGGGCGAAAGGGCAAAGCAAAAACAAAAATTACTGGAGAGAAGGTGCATGAAGCACAGGTGCCACTCGGCACTCCAAGTCACTCGCCTGCACCACTGCTGCATTGCGCTGTGACTGCATGGGGAAAGAAGAGGGCGCAAGGGCAAAGCAAAAACAAAAATTACTGGAGAGAAGGTGCATGAAGCACAGGTGCCACTCGGCACTCCAAGTCACTCGCCTGCACCACTGCTGCATTGCACTGTGACTGGATGGGACAGGGCGGATAGTGGGGAGAGTGGGAGGAAGAGGGGGACAGGGGGAATGAGAGGAAGGGTAAGGGGAGGATGAGCGGGAGAGGAGGACGAGGAAATGGAGGGTGCACGATTCACAGACGCCACCTAAGGCTCCCAAGTCGCTCATCTGTGCTTGCTAATGCTGCGTCGAATTTTGAGTCGACTCAAAAGGGTGCACGATTCACAGACGCTACCCAGGGCTCCCAAGTCGCTCATCCGTGCTTGCTAATGCTGCATTGCGCTCCGACTGCAGAGGACAGAAGGAATAGTGGGGAGGTGGGGGAGCGAGCACTTACCCTCTGCTCTGCTCTGCTCTGCTCTGTGCTTCGAAGTGAGGACTCAAGGGGTCCTCGACACACGAACGACTCTAGGAGGCCTGCAACATACCTTGATAGCAGCATGCTGGGTTAGGTACGTCTGAAGGTCCACCTCCTCTCTTTGCCTCTGCCTCTGCTGCTGCATCGCAACCTCGCTCGCCCTCCTCACCTGTGCCACCGGCTCAATCCCATGTACCACTGTTCGCTAGTAGCATAGACCTTGCCCTCTGTTTGAGACGTCCCAAAAGCAGAGGGCAATGTCTCAGCTACTAGATACTCATATCACGTTCGCTAGTAGCACAGACCTTGCCCTCTGCTCTGTACGGAATACCTTGATAGCAGTATGCTGGGATAGGTACGTCTGAAGGTCCACCTCCTCTCTCTGCCTCTGCCGCTGCATCGCCCCCTCGCTCGCCCTCAGTTGTGCCCCCACCGACCGCAGCCGCCCCTCCACGTCGCTCGCCCGCTCACTCTGCACGCGGTGCGCCGCCCGCAATGATTGCGCCAGCTGGCGCTTCTCCAGCAGCGCCTTGCGCAGGCGAGTGCGCAGCTGGGGGGGGGACCAAAAGGGGGAAGGAATGGGGAGAAGGGGGAAACGGGAGAAGGGAAAAAAGGGGGAAAAAAGGGAGAGGGGGGGTTGGGGAAGCGGTGGTGAAGGCAACATGTCACCACTCACCGTATTGGATTGCGGTACGGATTCCCCCTCACCTCCCCCATCCCCCATGCACGCATTCACAAGCACAACCCCCACGCATCACCACTCTCCACCAACTTTTGAGACGTCTCCAAAGTCGACAAGCACAACTCCCCACGCATCACCACTCTCCACCGTGTTGGCCTGGGATCTAAACTCATAGTTAGAAGGGCAGCAGTATTGTAAAGAAACGCTTAACTATGAGTTTAGATGCACACATTCACCAGCACAACCCCCCCGCATCACCACTCTCCACAGTGTTGGCCTGGGCCACACTTTATCTCCTTTCCCCCCTACTCCCCACCACACACTCGCATGCACACATGCACAAACACCGCACGTCACCGCTCACCACCGTGTTGGACTCCAGACACACCACACATTAGCCCCCCTTTCACACACACCCACCCACACACACCGCACATCACCACTCACCACCGTGTTGGACTGGGACACACCACACAGTAGCCCCACCTTCACACACACCCACCCACACACACCGAACATCACCACTCACCACCGTGTTGGACTGGGACACAGAGTCCTGCTGCCTCGTCAGCACGTCCAGTGACGTGGACAGCCCTGTGATCTGATTGGTCAACGCGGACAGCTGACTTGTCACACTGTTGCGCTCCGCCTGCCACCACACGGGCAGGATGGAGGGGGGCGAGGGAGGGGATAAGGTGGAGAGGGGGCATGGGAGGGGCATGGGGGGGGTGTGATAGGTAGAACAAATGAGAGGGGCATGTATGGGCGTGGGTGAGAAAAGAGCTTTAGAGGGTGGAAACGGGGGTGCATTTCAGGGAGCATGGACTTGTGCATAAGTGGGCTATGTGCTGCACTGCTACGTGTGTGTGACAATGCCATGACAGTCCCTACTGCCTGTACAGCCCGCTCAGCTCACCTGCAGCGAGTCGTTGAGTGCCTGCAGGCGAGCTATGTTCTGTGCTGCTACGAGTGATTACACCCACATCACCACATTCTCTCCACTCACATCACCACATTCTCTCCACTCACATCACCACATTCTCTCCACTCACATCACCACATCCCTCCACAGTCTCACATCACCACATCTCTCTCTTAAAGAGTGGGTTAGCGCACACAGCCCGCTCGTCTCACCTGCAGGCGAGCCACGTTTTGTGCTGCTGCCACAAGTGATACCCTCACAACACCAATTCTCTCCACACTCTCACATCTCCATGTGGGTTAGCGCACACAGCCCACACAGCTCACCTGCAGTGAGTCGTTGAGTGCCTGCAGACGGGCCACGTTCTGTGCTGCTGCCACGGACGCTAAAGTGCGCACTTCCAGAGCCTGTGAGCATGGCAGCATGGCAGCATGGCAGCATGGCAAAGCAAACCAGCATGGAAGAAAATCAGCATGACAGCATGGCAGGTGCATGGCAAGTGTGGAGTAGAGGGGGATCAGACAGAGAGGAGCACACGAGCGATCATGTGAACGGCAGGGAAATGCATGGCATGGCAGGGCAGGGCGTGAAATGGTATAGTATGGGAGGGCGTGGCATATTATTCCCCACTTGCTCCCTCCTGCAAGCACCTTGCTGAGGTCCCCCAGTCGCTCCTGCAGGTCCTTCCCCCCATACTCCCCACTGGTATCCCGCCTACTGCCCCCACAGTCTCACCTTAGTGAGGTCCCCCCGTCGCCCCTCCAGCCGCCGGCCCGCCTGCACCTCCTGCTGCAGCATGCGGTTCACCCGCCTCGCCCTGCCATTGTCATCCCATAGCCAGCACCCTGGTGAAGCTACAGTCACTCTCACTCACCTTAGTCAGGTCCCCTAGCCGCCCCTCCAACCCTCTTCCCGCCTGCACCTCCTGCTGCAGCATGCGGTTCACCCGCCTCGCCCTGCCCTCCCTCCTCTCCACGAACTCAGATAACACCCGCACCAGCTCCGCCTTTCTCACCGCCACCACTGCTTCCTCCCCCACCTCCACCTCAGCCTTTCTCTGAGACACCTCAGAAGTAGCTTCCCCACCCTCCTTCCCTTTCCCCTCCTTCAGCTCCTCCCCCTCTGTCCCCTTTCCTGTGCTGTTTGCAGGCTTCGGGTCAAGTCTCTCTGCGGCCCTCCGCAATCCCTCCGCTGCCCGCGTCTCCCTCTGCTGCTGGGTTTCTCCTGAGGGCCGCCGCTCGCTGTGCTGCGCTGCTGCATCGGCTATAATCGCACTGCACTGTGACAAAAGGTCCTGAATCTGGGCCTGTATCATGCGTGTGTGTGTGGGAATAAGGGGGAAGGAAGGAGGCATGAAGTGAGACGCCCGCTGCTCGCTCTGATGCAGTGCTGCATCGGCTATAAGTGCGCTGTATCTGGGCCTGAATCTGGGCCTGTAGTGTGTGCGTGTGTATTGTGTGTGTGGAAGAAAAAAAAGGGAAGAGTGGGGTGGTTGCGTGGAATAACAGAGTAGGCGCGGAGTGGTAGTTTTGGAGGGCAAGATGTGTGTGACGGAGGGAAGTGCAATTTCTTTGGTCAGATATGTAGATGTGACTTTTGAGATTCTCAAAAGTCACATCAATAAAACTAGAGGGAAGATGACCGTTTTCTTTGGTCAGAGAGCCCCAAGGCGCGGCTGACTCGATGCACAGATGCCGAATGGAATGGACCAGCCAAAGAATAAGCCACACATGCACAAACCACCCTCACCCCAGAATCACACTCAGTCCTCCATCGCATGCAGCGCACCTCAAGGTCCTTGCCCCCTTCCATCTGCTTTTGAGTCGACTCAAAAGCTGCTTTTGAGTCGACTCAAAAGTAAGCCACACATGTACAAACCACCCTCACCCCAGAATCACACTCAGTCCTCCATCGCATGCAGCACACCTCGAGGTCCTTGCCCCCTTCCATCTCATCAAGCTCCGGGCCGGACATGCTGTGGTCCCATACGTGCCGCTGCCTCAATGCACACATGCTAAACGAACCATCTACAGATACACAGCGACCACAGTCAGCCCACCTCGAGGTCCTTGCCCCCGTCCATCTCATCAAACACCGGGTCGGACAGCCCGTACGTGCCACTGACTCGACGCACACATGCCACACATGAGCCAGCCAGCCAGCCAGCCATGAGCCAGGCAGCCATGCACAAACCACACTCAACCCACCCTCAATTCCAGCCCACCTCGAGGTCCTTGCCACTCTCCATCTCGTCAAACACCGGGTCCGACAGCCCGTACGTGCCACTGATCCGCTTCACGAACTCGTCCCACTGCTGCTCCAGCCGCTCGCGCGCTGACGGGGGCGTGGGGACGAGAGGAGGGGCGCACACAGGCAGGGAAGAGGGGCGCACGAGGGGGGAGGAGGTGTGCATATGGTGGGGGAGGCAACCCATACGTGCCGCTGATCCGCTTCACGAACTTGTCCCATTGCTGCTCCAGACGCTCGCGCGCTGATGGGGATGTGGGGACGAAGGGGAAGGATCACAAGAGTGGGGGGAGAGGAGGAGAGGGCGAAGGGAGGACGGATGAAGGGTGGAGACGGAGAGACAGGGAGGTGAGAGGTGGGCGCTTTGAAAGGCATTACGAATCGAATCCCAACCTTTCACTACCTTCCCATTCTCGCATTCCGAATATCTTTAGCTATCCAACTCACCTTTTTCCCACAACCTTTCCTGCCACACTCTCCTGTCCCTCGTTTCCTCTCCCCCCCCTTCAACTTCCCTTTCCCCAATTATGCCTGCGCTCTTCAACTCAACCCCCCCATACACTCACCTTCCCCGCCTCCAGCGATGGTAGTGGCGACGTTGGTGGTGACAGCAGCACCAACGAGAATCTCTAGTGAGGCAAGCAGAGGGACGGACTCGATTGCCTGGAGAGGGGAGGGGAGGGATGAACTGTTGATTAGTGGTGCTGGTGGTGCTGGTGGTAGTCACGTTGCTGGTGGCGACGTTGGTGGTGACAGCAGCACCAACGAGAATCTCTAGTGAGGCAAGCAGAGGGACGGACTCGATGGCCTGGAGAAGCGGGGAGGAAGGGGCGCGAGAATGGAGGAGGGCTGTTGATGGAAATGGTGCGTGTTTCATCTCACCTGAATGAATTGCGCGTTTCATCTCACCTGAATGAATTGCGCGTTTCATCTCACCTGAATGACACGCACGTTTTATCACACCTGAATGACATGCGCGTTTCATCTCACTCACCTAAGCGACATGCGAGTTTCATCTCACCTGGATGATATGTGCTGTGACCTGCACGCCCACTGCCGCCGTGGCAGCACCCGCCATGAGCCATCCAGCTGTCTGCAGCTGATTGGCCGAGAGGAGAGGGGTGGTGCAATGGAGCAAGGTGGTAGGTGGAGGGGGAAATAATTTGGAAACGAGAATGAATGAGAAGCTAACTGAGAGATATGCGCCTGCCATGAGCCATCCTGCTGTCTGCAGCTGATTGGCGGAGAGGAGAGGGGTTGAGCAGTGGAGCAAGGCGATGAGGAAGGGGGTTCGGGAGGATGATATGAGTGGACGGGTGAGGTTGGAGGGGGGGGCGGGAGCGGAAGGTGGGAGGGAAAACAACGGCGGAACGAGAATGAGTGAGACGATAACTGTGGGATACGTCTCTGCATTTCCAGCTGTGGGCATCAAATTCAGTGTGTGGCACATACTGTGCTTACACTGCCCTGTGGAAGTAGCCAGTGTGCATATACTCGAAGTGCTTATACTGCCCTGTGCTTACATTAAAGTATTTGGAATCGGCGATGGTGTCAACCACCCGCTTCAGAAAGCTCCGCTTTTGAGGCGCCTCATCATCTCAATACACGCGGTTTTCTGTGCTTACATTGCTGAGTGCTTACATTGCTGAGTGCTTACATCACCATGTGACCACGTGATTACATTGAAGTTTTTGGAGTCAGTGATGGTGTCAACCACCCGCATCAGGAAGATATTGACATGAAGCACCTCAAACCATGCCCCCCTGAGCTAGCATCACCACATGCTTACATTGAAGTACTTGGAATCGGTGATGGTGTCAACCACCCTCTTCAGAAAGCTCCGCTTTTGAGGCGCCTCATCATCTCAATACACGCGGTTTTCTGTGCTTACATTGCTGAGTGCTTACATCACCATGTGACCACATGCTTACATTGAAGTAATTGGAATCGGTGATCGTGTCAACCACCCTCTTCAGAAGGCTGCTTAATTGTAGCACCTCAAACAAAGCCCTGCGCTTGCCGCGCCATGTGCTTACATTGAAGTATTTGGAATCGGTGATCGTGTCAACCACCCGCTTCAGAAAGCTCCTCTTCCAAGCCGCTGCCGCTGCAGCCGAGTCCAGCCCACCCCACGCGGCAGCGTCGCCAGCCGTCGGATCAACCTGATCAACGTCCAGGATCGTGTGATGCGATTGGAACGGAAAATCCCCAGAAGCTGCCCCCCCAGCCGCAGCATTCGAATCTGGCGAGGCAGTTGAGGTGGCAGGCGAGGAAGGGGATTGTGCGGCGGACTGGGCAAAACTGGCGAAGGGAGGCGAGGAGGACGCGAAAGGGGAGGTGGACGAGGAGGGGGAAGGGGAAGGGGAAGAGCCTGGAGAAGCGGGCCGTTCGGACCCACTCTGAGCGTACCCTCTAACGTCTCCTCTCCCATACCCTCTCCCATACCGCCCCTCATATCGCCCCTCGTATCCCCTCTCATGGTTCCGTGCTGCGTTCTGGTGACTCGCTCGCTCAGAGCCGGACCCAGGGGGGTCATGGGACCTGCGGGAGCTGCCGTTGCCGTGTCCGTTGCGAGGGAAGTGCGACCTGATAGCGTGTGACGAGGAGGGGAGGGAATGTGTGAGGTAGGAGCGTGTGAGTCACCTGAAACCGGAGCTGGGATGTGATGGTGAGAATGGAAGCGGGAACAATGGAAAGTAGAAGCAGAGAAGGATGTGGAACAGAGGGGGAAGTGGAAGCAGAGGAGGAAATGGAAGCGGTAGTCTTACTTTCCATTGAACTCGGAGTGAGACGCGTGGCATTTATTACTGCTACGCTTGAACGTCACTGATAGGAGGAATGTGGGAAGTAGGAAACAACAAGGTAACGGACATTTTAGGGGACAACCAGGGATTGTATTTTCAGGTAACTGCAGGGGACGATGGGCACGGCGAGGAAAACCTAGCCATTCAATGAGCCTTAAGAACGGCGATTGGAAAAGCCTACATTGCTGGCTTAAAGAAAGCAGAGAGAATTATATTTGGTAGAAGAGGAACTTAAGAATTTTGAATACAGAAACTGTCAGACAAACTGTCAGACAAACTGGGCAACGAAAATCGAAACAGAAGAGCGGGTTAGGACCGTACCGTGTCGCCATTTCGGCTTGGCGGTGAGCACGAGGAGCCGTCGGTGGCTGCTCTTGAGCTGACTGACTCCGCCCTTCCGACACGCGGACGCGCGAATCACGGCGGGAAGAGGCCGAGCGACGCGCCAGCAATGGCGGGGAGGATCCAACGCGACTGATGCCATTTATGACGAATTCAGCTAATGTGTAATCACTTTAAAGAACCGAGAATCAAGTTTGTTAGTGCGAATACGGGGTAGCCGCGCGGAGATTGCTGGAATAGAAAGTGCTAACAGAGAGGGGAAATGCCGGTCAGGAGGGGGTGAAACGTGGTCAGTGCTGGATGACAGGATTCACCGTAAGGGTGAATGCTGAAAACCCGTATATATAAATATATAAGCAACTCAAGTATCAACAATGCTGGTCAGGATAGAGTCAGATGTGGTCAATGCTGGATGACAGGATTCACCGTACAGGCGAATGCTGGAAAAAGAAAACCGTTGCCTAGAATAAGTCTAACGCTGCAGAATTAGATACCGGATGATAAAGAAACTCCACAGCCGTCCGTGTGCAAGGATTCAGTGAACTAGACGAGCACTGCCAGTGGAACTATCATCTCGTCCCCTAACTCATCTGTCACTACAAGCTTGACTGAATCCTCATCTCTTTGCTAAAGGTGCTGCTGCGCCGTGAACAGAAGAGAACACGCAACCCCGAAAACAGATCTGCCTGTTCTCCAGGCGTTAAAGCTGCGGTCTACATACTAAAAGGGGGTTTTGGGGGGTAATCTAGGTGCACACCCTTTGGTGCGCGATGACTTGAGAGCGAAGTGTGGTTTTCCCCCAAACACTTGTGCGATGAGTTAGCACAAAGTTGGCGATGTGAAACAATTTCGCGATTGGGTTTTCTTGGGGGAACAAATCCGCGGAAAGGCGGAAATTTCAGCGCCAAACACAAACAACCAAGCGGAAAGCTTTGCGCCCACCCCGCTCCCTCCTTCCGCCTCGATCATTCGTTTCTTCTGGAGAGTCTGCTACCCTGTTTTCAAGTGATAAACCAGGGCCTGTCCCTCGAGGTATGTAGACCGCAGCTTTAACTGCACACAGCCGTCGATGCGGAAATCGTGGACGATAGAGATGCGCTAGAAGAAACCACACATGTGGATGGATCGGTCCAGAAATATGAGTGGGACTCAGCTCAGAGATCTCGCAATCGAGGCCGTCCAACAGGCCTTGCAATAGCACGAACGGCAGGATCGTCAAGAAAGCAGCATCACGATGGTGGAATTTGATTGGTGGGAAGTTGCCTTCGCGCCCCTTTTCAAGTCCACGACCAAACAAGATACCGTGTATTCGTCGGCGGATTGTTCGGTATTGTACAAGCCCACCCACCAACTCATATTAAAAAGTCACGCGTTTTAAAGATACACAAAAACTTCTTCATTATGTCAAGAAGCCTAGCCCTGCTATGTTTTAGACCCTCCTTGAGCCGATGAAATTGGCCCTTTGCTATCGAGGATGAGGAGGTAGTTGTAAAGAAGCCGCATGAAATGGTCAACAGGACCAGGCAAGCAGTAGTAGTAGCAATCTGTGAGCCCATTCAGTTGTCGTAGGTGCCCATCCGGTCGCATCGACAAGGAAAAATCCAGATTCATGAACACACCACCAAATTCCTGCAGGAGGGGGGGGGGGGCGAGGGAAACAAAAAAAGGGTAACTCACTTCAAAAATATTTCGATAATGTAAAATTTCCCCAAACTACCATGAGGCGGTTTCTGACCAAACATTGAATTCAAACTTGAAAGCAGTGCCAAGAGAGGACACGACATTCTAGGAGCACAAAATTCACTTACGGTACCTGTGAGATCCAACTCACCCGAATCAAATCCCGCACTGCCTCATTCTGCTCCAGTACAAATGCCCATGGACCAGCCCGGGTGGCATTATCGGGTGGCGCTGCCAGCGGCTCCGTGGCATTCTCACAGCCCTCATGGCCGCGCCACGTGGATCGCCAAATCAGCAGCGTGTCAGGTGCCACCTGGCGGAATTTTGTGAGCGTCTGACGAAGCGTCTTGAGATACACCGGGGCTGGCAGGGAAGAAAAAAAGGCGGGGGGAAGGGAGGGAGGGTGGGGGGGTGGGGGGGGAGGAGTGGTGGGGGGAGACAAATAGTCACGGGAATGGTTGGAGATGAAAGGATTAGTGAAGGATGATGATCGATAAACAGACTTCTGTTTGAAAGCTCACTAGGCTGATAATATCTGTCAGTTGACTTGACAATCACTGTCCAGCACGTTCCACAGTGTCCAGCTACCCCAGGTCCCCCAGGTAGCGCAGGTTAATTGCAACCCCAACCCAACCGCTGTTCCCCCAACCACCGCCCCCCCGGTAACTGTGTCCCTGTCCTTAACGAAGCAGCACTCACTCGGCCGCCACTCGAAGCCTTTGTTGAGAACCTCGATCGACACGTTCCACTGCCGCAGGTGCCCAGCCACCGCTGGTTGAACGCCCCTCCCCCAACCACTGCGTCCCCCCAATCACTATGTCCCCTTCACCACTGCCCTCCCAACCACTGCCAGCCCAGCTGTTAGATTATACTACTCCTTTGTATCCTGCATTGATCCTACGAGGATAGAGATAGGCACCCAAAATATGTTTGGGTGCACAACTAGGGTTAACCCTTGTTGGGGGTTGGAACCCAAACCTTGGCCCAATTATTTGGCCCCCAAGGTTGGGTTGGGAGATTATTGGCCCCCCAATAAGGTTGGCCCAACTTTGGCCAACATTAATGGGACCCCCCAATAATTCCCTAACCCAACTTATTGGTGCGGGGCAATAATGTTGGCTAGGTAACCAGCGCCCCCCCCCTTCCCTGGCTCCAACTATGTATACCCTTGTGATTCCTAATCAAACCATCGGTTCAATTCTAACACCAGCCACTGTGTCCCTGCCCTTGAAGAAGCAGATGACTTTTGAGTCGACTCAAAAGTCACCTTGAAGCAGCAGCACTCACTGGGACGGTGCTCAAAGCCATTGTTGAGAACCACAATGGACACGTTCCACTGCCGCAGGTGCCCCACCTGCCGCTGGTTGAACGCTTCCCCCCCCAGGAG